CCAGTACAAAGAGAGGCCGAAGTGCTGCTCCTTAGAGACGTCCAGCACCAGGTGCACATCGTCACCATCTGCTGACACGTTGAGCCAGGGCAGGGCTATGGGGGAACCAAAGAAAGACAGACCCCCTTCACTCTTCTGTATACCCAAGCTTGGGCCATATCCACCAACTGACCCTTTGGAGTTCCCGTCCAACTCCTTAGACTGGGAGGCTCCTGGAGGTCAGAGCCTGTGTCCCTAGCCTCGGGGACCAAACCCATGTAGGCCTCAGGATGTGGTCCCAAGAATCCCCCTCTCCCTGATTCTCCCTCTGCAGCCAGAAGGTGCTGTAACCACTGTAAAATAAATAATTCTCCTCTGCTCTGAACCCTCTGATGCACCCCCACCCTTATTACTCCTAGAATAGAAGATGGAGTCCTTACAATGACTTGCAAGGCCCTACCCAATCTGGCTGCTGTGACCACTCTAACCTCATCTGCTAGCACTAATTAATTTGCTGCAGACACACTGAAACATACCAGACACACTACTGCCTCAGGCCTTTTGCATGGAACCCTTTAGAGCGAGGCCATTCCTGAAAGTTACAACTCCTAACCTCCCTATCCCCCTTCCCTGCATTTTCTTCCTAGCACTAATCTAACTATTGCATCATCTAATTATTGCATATTTCACATCCCCATGTGTTTATTGTGTCCTCCCTCACCCCCCACCTTGACCCTGACCCTGACTACCAGCTATAATGTCAGCTCTGTGTGGGCAGGGATTTTTGTCAGTTTTGCTTATTGATTTATCTCCGATACCCTAGCGCTATGCCTTGGGCAGACTAATTACTCAATAAATACCTGTTGAATAAGTGAACCAATGTGTAATGAATGAATGATGACATGAAATGCAATGATATCTATCTGTATCCTCAAAGCTCTGGTGCCGAGTAGCCTTTAATGGATTACCAGAGGCAGGCAGGCCAACCTTAAGATTAAATGAACCAAAAAGAAAATGAAGTTGAAATAATTTAAGAGTTCAAAAAACATCACAGTGAGAGCGGAGATTCAAGATGGCGGATTAAGAAAAAACACACACACATCACAGTGTTTACATCTTGATCTGGGTGGTAGTTATGCAAGTGTATACAGATGTAAAAAGATGGAACTGGACATTAAAATTAGTGCACTTTACACTTTTCTGTATGTGGTATACCACGACAGAAAAGAAAATACAAAACAAAAAAATCTAAATAGTGCATGGGAAAAACCATCAGAACTTTGACTTTCTTAGCCCTTATTTTATGATTTAACATTATTTTTATTTGATATATGGGGGGGTGTACCATAATCTTGACAATGCTTTGGTCCTCTAGACGTCCCTGGTACTAATACGTATTTGTTATAGGAAGTGAGAGATTCACCTTTGTATTCCTGGTGCCTGGCACAAAGTTGGAGCTATTGCAGTTAATGTGGGATGGATGGAGGGATGGATGGAGGGATGGATGGATGGATGGATGGATGGATGGATGGATGATCTGCGAGCATCTGGGATGTGGCAGCCCAGACCTGAACCCAATTCCTCACACCCCAGAACCTGGACCTCCCTCCTCCCAGCCCCGCTGGCCCTAGCCCCTACCCCAGCAGCTCTGGATGCTGTCCCGAACTTCATATCCCTTGCAGTCTGGGGAGAGATCACAGAAAAGCCTCTGGTAGGGCTGGGGACCAAGGGAACAAGGGGGGCAACCCAACTCACAGGGAGCTCTGGAAAGGGCTCCCTGTCCCCTAGATACCACCCACATCTTCCAATCCCCAAAGCACCTTCCCCAGGGGCAGGAAAGCCATGTCACTTCAGGAGCAGAGGCACGAGGGACTGACTCAGGATGAGAGCTCACACTGCTGCCTGAGAGTGGACAGGACTAGGAAGGTGGTAAAACCAGAAGGGGAGTGACCAGGGGGGAGAGCGACTAGGGAGGCCAGGGCTTGGGGCCCCTGAGGCTCTGGGGCCACTTACCAGGCAGCTGCTGTGTGAAATTGAGTTCTTTCTGGTAGTTGGGCTGAGTGTATGACCAGATTTGCACCTCAGCCCCCAGAGCAGCCTCGAAGCAGTCAAATACTACAGAGCCCTGTGAAAAGAGGGGTGGCAGAAGGCTAGTGGTATAGGGTTTAGAATCCAGGCCAAGGGCTGTGGGCTCCTCTGCGTGGACCCCTCCCTTCTTCTCCTATTAATGACTATATTTATACTGTATGGCTTGAAATTCTGCCATTGAAACTTCCCTCAAGAGCCCCCAATTCTAAAGCACACACCCTCAAAAGGGATGTCAGCAAGGTAGGGATAAGGGCCCTGGCTACTTGAGTCCTGCCCCAACCCTGGCTGTCCTGGATCATGTGGACAAAACTAAGGTGATCAGACACCCCTCCCCACAGAAGTGGTTTTCACATTCAGTGCCTCAGTGGTCCTCATGATTGTCCTGAGAGGTAGGCCAACAAATGTCCTCCACAATTTTCCAGATCAGAGGATATTGGCTGGGGGAGTCAAAGGGCTTGAGTGATTTGGCCAGAGCAGGGATACACCTCCCAACCACGTGTGGCCTCCTGCGGTACCCCCAACACCCTGCACCACGGTGTGTACATGAGGCAGACATGATATGGCAGGAAGTCCAGAGGGGTGGATCCAGCCCACAAACGTTCCCTCTCCAAGTCTCAGTTTCTCTCTCTGGAAAATTAGGGTAATAATAATGCCTAGTTCATGGCATTATCACCTCATTTAATTCTCACAACAGCCATATGAAATAGGACTACTCATGTGCCGGCCGAGTGGCGCGTAGGTTAACAGCTGGCTTGGGATGCCAGAGGGCCAGTGACACGATCCCACATATGAGGGCCAGTGACACTGCCCTCTACAGCTAAGATGCTGAACAACAGCTCAACCTGGAGCTGGGCTGCCGTGAGTCGCCGGCAACGGCGTAGGCTGCAGCCCCTGCTGCAGTGGATTGCCATGGGCTACCGTGTGTAGCCAGCAGCCAGCATGAGCAGCCAGCAGCCGCAGTGAGTGGCCTTCCAGAAGCCGGCGACTGATCTGCCTCACCAGGGAAGAGCGCAATGATGGTGCCAACTTGGGCCAGTGAAGCAACATCCTCCACAACTAGACTGAAGAACAAAAGGACAGCAACTTGTCTGTTCCCCTTCCCCCAATTCCTCAGTGCTGTTCCCATCCCCCAACTCCCCAATAAAAATCTTTAAAAAAAAAAGAAAGAAATAGGACTACTCATTCCCACTTTACAGACAGGAAAACTAAGGCATAAAAAGCTAAAAGGGCTTGCCTACAGCCCTGATCACAACCAGGACTTAAAGAAATAATGCATGTGGAAGCACTTTATAGATTTCATATTTAGAGGTAGTTATTATTATTTTCACATACCACAGACTGACCAGGCTGCACAAGGGCAGCAGGCACTTTCACTTCCAGCAGGACACAGCGGGCAGTAGTGTAGCTATTGAAGGAGAGCACAACTTGGGCCTGGAGAGAGGCTGTGAGCAACAGGGCAGGGGGTTGGTTAGGCTCAGGTTGGTTAGGCCCAGGGTTGGCAAGGCCCTGGTGAGGGGCAGTTGGGTCAGCCAAGTTCTCCTCACCATTCCTAGCCTCCTCAAGCCCTGCGTCAGCTGCTCTTCCAAATTGTTCCTCATCTTTAGGCTCTTCCCAGTGCCCTGAAAGGACCCAAGAACAAGGCCCAGGTCAGGGCCCCTGCTCTGGGCTGGCTTTGGGTTTGGCTTTTAGAAAGTGCAGTTCGGGGAAGCAGGGGCCAGGCCTGGAGTCTGGGGGTTGGATGGGGAGACCAGACTGGCCTGGGGGATCCTTTGGCCAGTGTCCTCCAGGAGGACACTGGGGCTGTCCAGGGCTGCCTGACAGACGCCCCAGTACTCATGCCCGTCCCAGACACATTCACATGTGCACATGGATGACATGCTCACCATGCACAGCCAAGTGGACGGCCACACGCACACAGAGACCACAGTCAGTCTCCTGATGGCACCTCAGCACCAGCTCTGTCTGCAGGTGTGTGGGCACCAGCACAGGTCCTGGAGCAGACACGATGCTTCCAGGCAGGCAGAGCAAGTCACCATCTGTGCAAGGTAGGAGCTGAAGCTGTTCTGAACCCAGCGTTTGGTTGTACCTGACACCCCCAGGAGGGCCCAGGAGCTTTGGACATGTCCCAGGCTGAGGGCTGGCCATGAGGGCATGGGACTGGGACAACTCCCCTCCCTTCCACCAACCTTGGAAGTTCTTTTCTCTCTAAAAGTAGGGCTACTCACCCCACAGGTGGCAGGAGAGGCCCTGGGAAGGAGGTAAAGGAGAGTCAAAGGTTATACTCCCAAATCTAAACATCTTTCCCTGTTTGAGACCCCCCCCCGCCCCCACCTCTTTCTGGGGCTCCTTATCCAAGCTCCTCCCGGAAGAAGACAGACCCAGCTCTTGCCCCCTCCCCATTCTCCTCTTACCCCGTCAGTACCAGACAGACCAGCCAGGGCAGTTCTGGGGGTGGCGGCCGTGACAGGAGCCAGGCGAGGGCCCTAATGGGCCTCAGACTGAACCGTGAGCCTTCCCCAACCCTCCCAGGACTCCGGACTCACCGGAGAGCAGCGAGCAGTGTCCTGAGGTCCCACAAGCCTCTCCAGAGAGAGGACCACGGGGCTTCGGCCCAGTGCCAAAGACAGCAGGAACCAGGACACAGGCATCTTCCAGGTGCCAGGCAGCACCCAGGCCTGAGGCCCTGTCCTGCCCCCCCAAGGGGGGGCAGACACCTCACCTCTGTTCCCACTCAGCCCTGTGTCTTTGGGAAGGAGGGCCCTGAATCTCTGCCCAGCCTCCAGGGTCCCAGCGCTGGCTGGCTTGAGCACTCCCTCTCCTGGGAGTCCTGATTTCAGTCTCAGTCCCAGCCCGAGTGCTTTCGTTTTGGCTCCCGGCAGGCAGCTGGCTGTTCCCGCCCCACCCTGTCCCTCCCACCAATACCAGGCCTGGAAGCCAGCAGCCTGGGACTGGGGTAGCGGCCTCCCCTCCTTCTTTCCCTCCTTTCCTCCTCCTCCCCTGCTGACACCTGGCTGGGAGGGCCCTTGGAGAGGGCAGCAGCAGACTCATGGCTGAGTAAGGAAGCTCTTATTCACCCTGAGAGTTCCTAAGAAGGGCCTGGGCAATCCTGGGGCATTTTTCCTTCCCACGTGATTCTGGAATCTTGGTGCCCACTGGGTCCCCTCTTCCTGTCCCTTCACACAGACTCCCTGGGCCTCAGTGACCCTTTTTGGGTCAGGAGCTCTTTATAAAGGCAAGGATAGGCTTTTCACCACTTCCTATACTCAAGTGTGGTAAGGGTGGGGAAAAGAACCAGGACCCAAAGCCAGCCAGACGGGGGCCCCATTTGTGCTTTTGCCATGGGCTGGCTATGTGCTGATGGACACACGCCACTTTTTTGAACCTGTTTTTTTTCTCTCTCTCCTCACAGAAGAATCACAGTGAGGATCGAGATTTCCTTTGCCTTTCCGGCGGCATTCTGTGATGGATGGGGATGTCGGTGTGGACATGGAGGATTTGGGCCACATGCTGATGGATAATAACCCCCAGGCAGAGTTGTGCTGACCATTCCCCCAAGTCAGTGTGCTGGGCACACTAGAGAAGCATTTGTGTTTCTTAATTTGTCCATCATGTTCGCCTTTATTCATCTTTCTCCATCTTGGTCTCCACTATCCCACCTTTGCTGTGGCCATTAGGCTAAATCCTGTTTCCCTAAGTCCACATTCCTCCCTCCCTCCCTACTGGGCAAGGCCTGGGTCTGGGAAAGGGGGATCCCTGGCCCCTAAGGGGCTTTTCTCCCACTTCCCTGGAGCCATACACCCCCACCCGCTTCAGAACCGCCATAGCTCCTGCCTCCCCTACCCCTGTTCCAATGTCCCCAGCTTGGCCTGGAGCATGTCCAGACTACTTTCTGGAATTTTGGAGAAAGGAAGTGGGGAAATCTCCCTCCTCTCATCAGGACCGGGGTCAGAGGAGTTCTCAGTCAAGTCAGTCTCTCCCTCTGAGAGGCAAGAAAGCAGCATCGAGACGAAGCAGGACACACGTGTAGAAGGGTTGGGAGTGAGTCGGGTGCTCTGCTCCTGGTTGGGAGGCAGGGAATAAGGCTTTTCGGGCAGTAATCTTGAGGAGACACCCCGAGGATGCCATGGTAAAAGCCTTGTGGGGTGCCAACCAGTGCCCCTATGCCTGCGGCTGAGATATCTAGATTGCAGAGGAGCTCTGCTCAGCCTTAGTGGGCAAGTTTGGCTGCCTCGAGTTCCAGCCGGCGACACAGCTCCAGGCGGCCCCGTAGGCACGGCGGAGGGCTGAGGCGGCCCCAGCCGGTGGCTTCGATGGAAGGCCCCGCGTCCAGCGCCCGCAGCAAGCGAGGCAGGTCGCGCAGCAGACGGTAGCGAGGCAGGGCGCGCAGCGACGGGGGAATGTCGCCCTTGGTGCACAGGCGACTGAAGTAAGCCAGCAGCAGCAGCGGGCGCGGGGCGGCGCGGAGCAGAGTGCGCAGGGGCGCGGTGCGGGGGCCCACACTGCTCCACAGCAGCAGCACCGTGCCCCGCTCCCGCACCACGCGCGCCCGCGCCGCCCATAGCCACGGCAGCGGGCCCAAGTGCGCAACGCGCGTCCCCTCCCACAGGTCCACGATCACGTCGTGTCCACCGCCCAGGGAGGCCCGCAGCAGTTCAGCCAGCGCTCCCACCAGGCGCCGCTGCGCCTCTGAGTCAGCGGCGTGCAGGAGCAGCACGGGCCGCGCTCGGCCAGGGCCTGGGGGCAGGAGCAACAGATGAACAGGGTAGGGGCTGAGAGACAGTCCTGCCTTCTCCCCGGCCTCGGGGCTACATCATAGGGTGCCTCCCCTATCCCGTTCCTTATCTGCGCTGGGGGTGGGTACCCAATCCAGCTTTAGCCTATAGGGTGCCTCGGGGCTAATTAGATAAAGGTGCCCCGGAAGGGGCGAGGGCCGGGGCGCCAGGTTTGGCAGGTGTGGCGCAGGCTGGATTTCGGCTCCACTCGCCTCTTGCCCAGCAGAGATTTGGTGCAGGGAGTCCTTTGCCCTGTCTTAACCATTCCTGCCCACTAGGGAACCTGAGGTTCACCTCCTTGGGTAGCAGAGAGCTGGGTGCAGCAGTAGGTATGTGCCTCTTGGGGAAGGCAGCCCGGGCAGGAGGAGGGTGGGGGCAACTAGCCTAGGAGCTGGGAAGGTCTAAATCCCCAGGGTACTTACGAGTGAGTATACCTGACAGTGGGCGCCGGCAAGCGAGGACCAGAACGACAGCCAGTAGGGCAGTGAGGGCCAGCAGGGCCAGGATCAAGAGTCCCAGGCGTCTATGAGAGACTGAGTCAAGCGGGATGAGGCCAAGCTGGGCTCCTCGGTGCCCAACCTCCCTCCTACCGCTCCAGCAAGAACTCACCATCCGGACACAAGAGGTGCTTCCAGGCGAACTGGACATCTGATCTCCACACCTGAGGGCACAGAGTACCCCCACCCCATGAGCCAGGAGAGCACTTCCTCCAGGGGAAGTTGAATGAAGCATGGGGATGGAGAAGAGGAGGGCCCCTGGGTAGGGAGTTTCTCCAGCACAGAACTGGTCAAGAGTGGCAAACTCAAAAGTAAACTCAAAGTTGGCCAGGGTGTCCATGAGGACTTGGAGGGCACAGGCCCTGGCTGAAGTAATGAGACACGCCTGAGCTCCAGCCCATTGTCACCAGGCCTGAGTGTGGACACAGAATACCAGGTTTTCTGATTTTTTTCAAGAGAAGCCAGAAGTCAGCTTTTTAAAATATGACATTTCCCAATATTTAAATGGTGGCAGCAAATTCCAATTTCAAACACCATGCTGGCCAAAGCAAACATTTTTGCAGACTGGATTTGCCCCATGTACCGCCTGCGGAGCAGATACCAGGGGAGTGTGCGCAGAGGAAGGGCAGGATTCCTTACCAGGACACAGCCCCCAGGCTTCAGGAAGGGAATGATGAGGTCTAGTGTCACTGGGCTTGAGCCCTGAGCCTGTCGGAATAAAGAACAAAATGACTGTTCCCAAAGAGGCACATCTGGCTCTGTCCAGCTTCTGAGCCTTTGCTCATGCTGTTCGTCCTTTCTACCCCTGACCCTCACCCAAATCCTCCCCAGGCTTAAAGCCAAGTGCCAGCCTGACAAGAAGCCTTCCCTGGTTTAATTCCCATATCTCCCTGATCATTCCCACATTAGAATTGCTGCACAGATACACATTGATCATGCAATCAGGCACTTGTCAACAGACATCAGTTGGGTGCCGACTCTATGCCAAGCCCTGAGGAAAGAAGGCGGGCGGAGGTATTTTTCTCTGTCCTCCAGCAGCTCACAAAACAGGGAGGCTAATAATATGCTGCCCCCCTCCTGTCCCGCATACTGGAAAGAACAGCTTATCCATTGGAAAGAATGTAAGCTTATGGACTCAGAAGACCATAGTTCATAAAGTCAGGCTTAAATGTTGCCTTGGTTGTTCCTAGCTCTGTGATCTTTGCATGGAGATAGGTTACCTCCCTCCCTGAGCCTCAGTTTCTTCATTTGTCTGTGAAGGGTAATGATCCTTGTTTTACTGGGTTATTGAGAACATCACATGGAACTATGCATGTGAACATCTTTATAATAAAAGGTACAGTGTGTATTCATTTAGTAGTAGTAGCTATTATTACACTGTGGACTCCTAGAGACAGAGACTCTGTTATGTACTTTTCTTGCATCTCCCAGGGCCTGAGACAGGGTAGGCACAGAGTAGGCACTCAATAAATCCATACTGAATTGGACAGAATTGATTGCCACCTGCCTACATGCAGGATGTGGCTGCGCCCTACGTTCTGGGCAGGGAGCTGATCAGAATCTCCATCCTTTGGGAACACCCTCTGCCCCCTACCCGACCCTGTCCCAGATCCCATTCTCCAGTCAGCTGTAAGCAAGTGCTGAGGCAGTGGTTCTCAAATGATGGCTGAACTCAGTGAAGGGGGTCTTTTCCCAGCTCACAGAAACAAACTAGTCTACGGATTTATCTCTTCATTTCAGGTTTTCCCACAACTTTGTTTTAAATCTTAAGCATGACTTAGTCTTAAATCTGGGCATTTGCTACCACCTGTCTGTTTGGGAGCCCTCAGAAAATACGAAACAAATAAGCAAGCTTCAAGTGAGCATCTAGAAAGAACTAGGGGGCCGGCCGAGTGGTGCATTGGTTAAGGGCTGGGTTGGGACACCAGCTCTGAGCAGCAGGGCCCCGGTTCAGATCCCACATGAGGGCCAGTGACACTGCCCTCTACAGCTAAGATGGTGAACAACAGCTGGAGCTGGGCTGCCGTGAGTCGCCAGCGACGGCATAGGCTGTAGTGGGGCTGGACAGCAACAGGCATGAGCTTTCATGAGCTGCCATGAGCCACCGTGAGCAGCTGTCCAGAAGCTGGCAACCAATCTGCCTCGCCCGAGAAGAGCGCAATGATAATACCAACATGGGCCAGAGAAGCAATGTTCTCCACAACTAGACTGAAGAACAAAAGGACAGCAACTTGTCTGTTCCCCTTCCCCCAATTCCCCAGCACTGTTCCCATCCCCCAATTCCCCAATAAAAATCTTTAAAAAAAAAAAAAAAGAACAAAGAAGAGCTAGTCATTCTTAGTCAGCTTGGGACTATGGTTTTGCAGATATATTTGATTGTGGTTTTTATATCAGATACACAGAGGAAAGTCTGCTAGTCAAACTGTTCTTAGTTCACATAATAGAGTTAAATCTGTCAGTAGTTTATAGTACTCTGCAAAGAACACTTCAGCTTCCAGGGGCTCTGTCTCCCAAGATTTTAGGTTGGGAGATTGATAGTGAGAGAACCTCTGCCAGCTGCCTCGTGGAAGCAGGCAGGAGCATGGTGGTAGAGGACAGCTGGGTTGGGGAGAGCATCAGTATAATAAAAAGCGGCCGCAGTTGGAGGGAGCAAGAGAACAGCTGGATGTGGAAGGGCAAGTCTTTTGCCTCTATTTACCTTTGTAAGTTCGGAAACTGAAAGGATTAGATTCTGCTCCATGGAAGACCCTGCTAACTGGCAGAAGAGCCCGCTGAACAAAGGCTGATCAAGTAAATAAATAACCAGTAAGCCAGGGATTTGCTTGCTGCCACCTGCTGTGCTCTGAGCCATGGACCTAGTGGGGCCCAAGCCCTGGCCAGGCCGTACCTGGCTGATGCTGTACACAGGGGGCACCAGGCTGTCCTGCCCCAAGCCTGGGTGGCTCCAGGCAGCACTGAATGTGGCATGCATCCTCGTGAAGAAGTGAAGGATCAGCTGCTGGGCCTGGGTGTCCATGCTCACATTCCAGGATGGGGCTGCCATGGTGGGGAAAAGGGTGTCATGTGAGAGACCTGTTTGCTGGAGGTGATAGGAGCTGGGCTGCAGTTGACAGAAAGTCGGGGTGGGAGTTTGGCTTGGTCACAGTTGGGTGAGGGTGAAATGATGGGAGGGGTTCCCAGCCGGGGTCCCTTATTGGCTCACCAATCTGGTGGGGACATTCAACGTGGCTGCTGTTTCCAAAAGAGAACTGAGAAAAATCCAAGAATGGCAGGTCAGCAAGCTCCAGGCACCGTCTATATCCCTACCCACCCTCTCTTGCCCACGCTTGTACCTTAAAGCAGAGCTGGGGGTGCAAGTCCACTTTCTCCAAAACATACCACTGTGGTGGGAGAAGAGGGTTAGTCAGGGGGGAAGGGCCCTGGGCCCCAGCCCTGCCCACCCAGGTCCTAGAGAGGCCCGTCTCACCCCGTCTGCCTCTTGAGCTGTGGCGTTGGGGAGGTCTTCGCAGAGGGTGTGCCAGCCCTGCCTCTGGCAGAGGGAGGCCTCCAGCTTCAGTGGGCAGCGGAGTGTCAGGGCCATGACCATCTGACTGTGCTGGCTGTGGTCAGTAAAGTGCACTGACTTCCAGAAGTCCGAGCCATCTGGGCAGGCAGCAGGGCCAGAGAGTGAGGCCTAGGGAGGCCTGAGCCCTGCTTTGGCCTCATTTTGCCACCCCCATCCCCAGGGCATCAGGAGACCACATTTGTGAAGGTGTGAAGTGTGTGTGTGTTGGAGGAAACCCCCTAGTTCGCGTGTATGTGTGTGTATGTAAGAAAGACAGAGAGGGGCATATGAGCAGCACTCACAGGCTTCCGGCCAGCTCTGGAAGGGACATTTTTTGCGCCTCACGGTGTCCTCTTGCAGGTAGGATGCCTGGGGGACAGGGAGCAGGCAGGGAAGGTCAGAGGAAGGGCTTTCCTATATCACTCAGACCTGAAACTCATTCTGACTTGACCTTGCCCCCGTGCAAGCTGCCTGAGCGGGCAGGGCACTGAGGAGGGGGAGCAGTCAGGGGGCGTGGGCACCGGTAGGTGGTGCTTTACACTGGGGGAGGAACTCCAGGGTACGGGAGTGAGAACAGAAGTGAGGGGCCAAGTCCTTTTCTCCTTGGAAAAGGAGAATCTATCTACAGAAAGAGGCAGATTGTGAGGTCCACATTCCTCCACTTTTGGCTTCCCTGGCCTCCATTCTCAGCGGTTCCCAAGGTGTCTAGTGCCTAATGGTTGTCCACCCTGGCGGGTGCTGGGGGCTCCAGGTCCCAGCCTATATCCTCCCTTTAGTTTCCTGCTGAGTGATAAGGCCCCCTGCTTTTTCTGTGTAGGTCACGTAAGTCTTAATGCTAGACACTTCAGAATTAGGGAGAGGAGGACCGCTATGAAGGGTTAGTGCAGACATGACTTTGGGGGCCATAGGGAACCTTGCAATGCCCCCACTGCAAGCTCAGAACACACAGTGAAGGCAGCTGTCTATTCTGCCGCTGAGGGTCAAAGCCAGGTCCGGACTATGGAAAGCTAGGTTTGGATGGGGCTAAGGTCAGAATTACCCCCCAAGAATGTCCCACATTCAGCAGGACACTGCCATCTCTGACCCAGTGCGTGGCTCACAGTCAAGCTAGCACCAACCAGTTTTCCCAAGCACCCATTAACACCCAGTCTCTTTAAACCCTGACTTACTGAAAATCTGTCTGACCAACTGCACTATCTGGGGCCCTAGGAATGGGACCATGGATGAGCTACACTCTTTCCTCTGCTTACCTCTATGCATAGGCAAGGTAGAAGGAATTCATAAGGCAGGTCTACAGTGTGGCCCCAAGACACGATTTTCTGTTGACAAAGCAGCAAAGGGAGAGAAGAAGAGATGCCAGAGAAAGAGCAGAGGCACCCTAGACAAGGGCAGGAGGAAGCTGGGACCTTGGCCGACACTCGGTTTTTCCTCTTATATGAGACTTAATTCTTCCATCGAAAAATTTCTTCTTAAAGGGTCTCATGCTCTGCACTCTGACCATTTTCTCTTGGTGTCTCAATATATGGCGTGGGGGGAAGGAGGAGTCAGGGAAAGGAACATATGTTTAATGAGCCCCACTGTATGCCAGGTAGAGTGCTAAGTGCTAAAGCAATAACTCAACTAAATGCTAGCATCACAGTGATCTTGGGAGGTGTCATCACCATTTCCTAAATGAAGAGAGCTGAGGGTCTCAGGGGTGTGGCATCAGTCCATGCAAATGGTACCAGCTGTACACAAGGGCCTCTGTGACAACTGGAAGTTGAGGTGGGGTGTCAGGGCCTGGGCTGGGGGAATGGGGACATCTCAATCTCTGAGGGGCAGCAACAAAGGAAGAGAAATGGAAGGGTATCAGGACAGATGTGACCACTGTTATTTTCTCAGGGAGAACAACTTCTTGAAGGAAGTGAAATGGCTTCTTAATTAATGCAACCCCAATCTCACTGACAGTCTTCTTGTTGGGGGTAAATACCATCTTCTCTGCTAATCATTTCTGGTTGCTCCAGGACTCTGCATGCCCTTTCCTTTCCTCTCCTCCCTGCATTTTCTGTCTAGTCCAAAGAAGTCTTCATGCTAGACACGTCAGACTTGTGGAGGATTATCTTCTCTCTCTGGACCCCAGTCTTCCTGTATGTACAATGGGTAGGCCGTTTTTGCTCCAGCACTGAGTGATCTGGCTTTTTACAGAAACATGGCACTCCTTACCTGGACATCAAAGGGACTGCTCAGCTCTTCGCACTCTAGTGCCCACTGGTGACAAAGACGCACACTGACCTCGGGGCCTGGAGGAATGCTCACTCGAATAGCCCGTGCCTCAGGCAGCAAGTCAAAGGAGAACTCAGGCCCTGGGGAGAAGGGAGACTTGGTGGCTTTGTTTCTTGGCCTTAGTGAAAGTGTTACTACTTGACGGTGTCCACCTCCAGTCACACCCCAGGCCTACCTTTGTGCCTCTGTGAGCCCTGTCTCATCAGATCTTCCACTGCCCCTGGATCTGAAGGTTGGGTCCTTTTAGAGCGTTGCCCCTTGTGGGAGATGTCTGGGGATGGGATGGAGATGCGATGGCCCTTCTCAGACAGGCAACAGCTACTCAGCAGCTTCCTCTGTAGGCAGAGAGCAAGACCGGCCTTAGGCCAGGAATCAGGATCTCTGGCTTCTATTTCTCCCTCTGGAACACGGGACACCACAGGCAAGTTGCTCAACTTTTAGGCTTCAGTTTCCCTAACTGTGTAATGGACAGAAGAGTCTGCTTCATCTCCACACTTCCATCTCCCTAATGTGGCTGGAAAACAAAATGAGAGGACAGAAAGAAAAGGGCTATGGGGCACAGGGCAGGGCTGGAACTGGAAAGTACCTGAACAGATGCTGGCATTGTGTGTCTCCTACAGAACTGGAACAAGTAAGACTTTTTGGATTTCTGCACCAGGTGGTGGAACCAGCCCCGCTGAAGGCCTGCGCAGGAAAGGACACATTTCATATTGAATCCTTCAGTGCCCCTCCCCTACCTGGAGATGCGGCCCAATGTTGGATTGTAAGTCATTTTATTTAGGTCAAGGAGGGTAATGATACCAAGCCTCTTTACTCCTGAAAGTTACGATACAATCAAAAAAGGATTAATTTCTTAAGTAGAAAAGAAGATATATATATATATATATATATATATATATATATATATATCTTCCTCTACTTAAAAAAAATATATATATATACATACACATATATACATATATATGAAGATGTTCATTGTGGCATTATTCGTAACAGTGAAAAATTACAAACTGCCAATTTTTAAGCAGTGTATGGGCATCTAACATGTATCAGGCACTGAGCTAGGCAATGAAAATATAGCGTTGACTAAGAACAATCTTACTTTACAAATAGAAGGTAATAATAGTAAATTAATAGAACTAAAACATTTTAATTCCAAGAATTGGTGCCAGATGAAAGGAGAAACACCTTCACAAAATGATGCAAATGAACTCACTAGTACCAGTCATGGTGTGCCATTTTAGGATGACCTAAGTCTCTGTTGAGGTTGACAATAGGACAAACATGAATTCCAGTATGGTAAGTCCCACTTGCCTCAGCCTGGGGCCCCCCACCTGACCACCAACAAAATTCCCCTAATTCATACATCCACTGAGAATGGCCAAAGGCTGTTTCTCATACCTGAAGGAAGGGACACCGAGTGCAGGCACAAACAGTAGGGGCAGTGCCAGAGCCGAGCACACCAAGGCTTTAGGGAGGTGAGGAGGCCAAACCAGGTACGGCCAGGAATATGGGCAGACCTTTCTGAGAAAGAGGAAGAGGAAATCAAGGGGTAGGGTCCAAGGAGGTCCCCCCTGCCTCAGGCAAGTTGGACTTGCGGCCGAGCTCTGCCACTTACATCCTGCCTGGGTGGCCTTGGGCAGGTTATGGACCTCACTGAGCCTCAGCTTCCTCATTCACAAAGAGGAGCTGTTATTGCCAAGACCAAGTAAGATAACGGGTGGGGAAATACTGGGTTGTCGGAAAAGTCATGACGTATTTTTTCTGTTTTTCGTTGCAAAAATGAGTCACGACTTTTCTGACGACCCCATATATCATTGTGTTACTGACAGGTAAGGGGGAGTGCCTGGAGAGTCACACGTGTGTCTCTCTCTCATTTAATCCTCCCCACAGCACAGGGATGACAGTCTTCCTTATACGAGCATTTCTACTGCACTGATAGACACTTTGGAAGCTGAGGATCAGAGGGGTTAAATGCACTGCCTGCAGCCACACGTGTGGAGTATGTGGTAGAATTGTAATGCAAATCCAGGCTTGTCCCGATTCCTTGATACTGTGCTACTTCCCAGGCTGGAAACCAAGAACTAGAATGGAAGGCTTGCTCCCCAGACCATTAAGCCGCTCTTGGACTTGGATGTCCCCTGGACACATGCTTCTGGAACAAAGGGATGTGGGGAAGAGGAGCAGGGCAGGGAATGAGACTCACCAGCAAAACTGTCATCCTGAAGGCACAGGGCCCAGTGGGGGCGGAAAAAAGGAGAGAAGTATAATTAGTAGGGATTTCCATAAAGAGCGCTCTCCTTGGGATCTTTGCCTCTAAAATCGCCTAATTCCGAGGTCCAGAAGCTAAATAACTCATCCACTGTGACGCTTCTTCCCAACACCCAGGCCCTCAGCCTACCAAGACTTTGGCTACTCCTTGAAGACAGGTAAGAGCTCACAGTGAGGCTGCCACCAGAGCACAGGGACTTGGGGCGGTAGGGAAGGACAGGCAGGAGAGTGGGGAGCTTTGCCGACCTGTGCCAGGCAGGTGTGCCCACCTAGCAGCAAGCGGCACCTTACCATGTGGGAGGCCAGCAGACAGCGGGTGTTCCAGCAGGGCAGACAGGGGCAGCCAATCCCAGCGGAGGCAGATAGGCCAATGAGCAGCAGGCGGAGAGGCAGGAGTAGGGCTGCCAGCCGGGGGCTCCCCATGGGCTTCCGTCTAGTCAGGGCATCCAGAACATGGCTGCACAGCCTGAAGGTGGGCAGCAAGTCTTTGTTTCACAGCAGCAGGGAACGCAATGCCAGCAGGAGCCCTCGCCTCAGCCTGCCCCTGCCCCGCCCCACCCCAAAGCGTCTCCTCAATCCTAACCAGCAGGCCAGGCCACATTCCTTCTCCTCCAAGCAGAGGTACTTAGGGATGCTTGCCCCCCAGAAAACCCTACTGCCCCTAACTGCCTCCTAATCAGGCAGAGAAATAACAGGAAAGAGGCTCTAGCACAGGGTTAGGGGGCCGCTTGGCTGCACCCATTTCTTAACCCCTCCTACTCCTGCAACACCCTCTAGATCTGACCCGCCCATTAAGGTGTTGTTGGACTTGGATCTCCCTTGGACACATGCTTCATCCCCTCACTTAAAGAGTTAACAGAGCTATTAAGCTATTAAACTCTGCACTGGGTGCCAGAGACAGAGGTGATTGAGGTACAATTTAGAGTTGGGCAGAACAAGAAGAAAGCACTACAGGACACACAAAAGCCTTCCATGCCCCCACATGCATCCTGGCTCCCCACCTGGCTGACTCTCAGGACTACAGCCCAGCTTTCTCTCTCTACCCACTGGCTAGTTCCAGCTTTTCTGGGCGAAGGGCTCCATGTCAAAGGGGACCCCGACTTCAAGGATCCACTAATCAGCAGAATCTGCTCAGGAAGTCCCAGAGCTTGTAGCAGAGCCCTGGAGCTTAGGGAGTGGGCCCCACGCACTGACCTGGTTTCCTGTGGTTTCCGATGATGCTGACAAGGCTCCAGTCTTTGTGGGGACCCTCCCCATCATCCCACAGCTTCCTCCTGCTCATGGAGCATTTGAGCTGCTTTCAGCCCTCACCTTGGTAACACATACAGTGGAAAGAAAGTTGGGGGAACACCTATTAGGTTAAGGCATCTTGAAATTGTTATTGACCCTCTGCACGTTTCAGTAGCCTGACCACATCCTTCTTTTGGTCAATTCTAGTTTCTAAGTCTTGAGGTCCACTGTCTGAAGATCCCATCCTACATAATATCCTAAAAATACCCTCTAGCTTTTGACTTCCTTTTGAGATAAGGGCCCTTTCTTATTAAGCTTCACCCATGCCTAGGGGTGGATGTCATGAAATAGGTGCTCTATAATTGAATAAATGTAAATTATGATATGTTTCATCCAAGTATCAGTTTATCTGTTTCACATTTTACAAAACACTTTCATATTTGATTCTCCTAATCACCTTGTAAGACAGGTAGGAATTATTATTTTCATTTCATAGAGAAGTAAGCAGAAAGGAACATGATTTGGTCTAAGTCACGGTCTCCAGCTTCGGGAGCTGTACTTCTGCCAGCCTCTCACAGTTCAATTCTCTTATGGTCTCTCCTCGAACTGCCTCCTCTCCCTCTGCTCCTGGGAACCCTTAAGTGTCCGCCTGACACACATGTGTCTTTTGGCCTTGGAGTCCATCACTGCAAACAAATCAGTAATGTGAAGGAAGAAAAAGGTGGTCTGGCCATACTAAGGATTGGTTAGGGAATCTTACCCCCCAGATTGTTACCTAACCCACAGCAGTTTAGATCTACATAGATAATGCACTTTTCAAGGCTGGGAACATGATGTGAGGAACTTGGTTCTGTTCTAGAATACTTCTTTTATGACCCTTTACATCTTCTGATCTGATTTTCACAATAAAAAAATTTGAGTAATTGCTCCCTGACCTAAGGTATGGTTGGAGAAGCAGAAGATAAATAAATGGAGACACATACACATGTACAAAAGAAAAAATAGAAAGGGAAGAAAAGGAGCACATAAGAAGGAGAAAGAACAAAGATAAGAAAGAGAGAAGAAGAGAGAATAGGAGGTCTGCATTTTATTTGTCTTGTTAGTTTACTTATTTATTGTGGAGACTATTTCAAAAAGGACTTCAGGTAAAAAGCACAGCAGGTGAATTCCAGCACACCCCGGGGAAGGGGAGGGATCAGACCGACATTTGCTAAACTACTATCAGGCTCTGGTCCCTGTGCTATGGCCACATTATCTCATTTTATTAGCAGTACCATCCTTGAGGTCAATCTTACTAAAACATTTTACAGGCTAGGCAACACTACCGTGTTTCCCCAAAAATAAGACCTAACTGGAAAATAAGGCCTAGCATGATTTTTCAGGGTGCTCATAATATAAGCCCTGCCCCAAACATAAGCCCCAGTTAAGAGCGTCCGCTAGACATGACTGTTTGAATAAATATAGATTTCTCTACATGAATAAATGAATAAATGTAGATTGTTGGAGCAAAAATTAATGGAAGACCCGGTCTTATTTTCAGGGAAACACAACAGGAAGATTTAGCAACTTGTCCAGACACAAAAATGAAGAGCTGGGACTCACCATGCCTTTTCCAGCTCTTGCTGCCAGAACGCACTGCTTAGGAGAGCTGTGGGATGTCAGAGGGTTTCCGGGCCCTGCAGTCCACAGAAGTACTATTGTAGATTTAGCAATGTGATGTAGTTGGGTTAACAATGTGGAGGAAGAAACTGGAATAGTTGGAAAGAACAAAGGAAAGTAGATCTTTATAACAGTTTATTATCAGTGGTCAGACTTCTAGGAGAGTAGGGATCGTTTGGCAAGTGTCAACAAGGAAGGAGTAATTAACTCTGTGGCTGGAATAGGCGGTGGCCAAGTGGAGTAAAGGCGACAGGTGTGTGGAGGCCTTCAGCACAGTGGCCCTGTCCTGACGAAGATGGCTGAGGCCTGTCTCACCTTAGGTTTGTCTGAATGAGCTGACCTAGACTTCATACCCCAATAACTTCATACTCCCTGGGGACCAAGCCAGGCACTCAGGAGGTCTCGACAGACCCCTGCACATGCTCAGGTACAGAGTACGCTGTGGGAGGCCTTGAGCAGCTGTTTTTCTTGACAGAGCTTTACCCAGGCGTGGACTCTGGTCGGACCATGCAGCAGCATCTCCACGCTCTTCCTGTAACTGTCGATTCCTAAGGTCTGTTGGGGCAACTGCGCCTGTTAGGGCACCCTGGGCAGGAAAGTCCAACCAATTAGACCAATGTCACTAAGAGTTTACAAGTGTCCCTTCCTCACTTCTGCTCTTCCAGAAGGGATCAACCTCCAGAATTCTGAGGCAAGAAATTGTGTCTAAGAAGGTAAGAACTCCCAATCTGGGAGGGGGAAGCCAACATTTCTCATCAAGGGAAGGGGTTGTGATATTTATTAAGCACCTACTATGTACTAGGCTGTTCATATCCTTTATTCAACCCCCACAACCACCCTGGGAGGTAGCTACTGTGAGCCCCATGTGTCAGATTAAAAACAGAGGCCCAAGTATCTTGCTCAAGGCAAAAGGTAATAAAATGCTTGGCTAGAATTCAAACCAAAGTCGGTCTTACATCAGAAACTGTTCATTCCAGGACACCACACTGCTTTTCTCAGGGATTAGATGCTTGCTAAGGGCCCCTCCAAGGGCCTGCTCTCTGTCGGGTAAATATCAGAGAATAATAACCACTCCTCAAAATTTATATAGTGTTACATAGTTCACAAAGCATTTTCACAATACTTCACCTTATTTGATCTTCAAAACAATCCTGTGAAATAGGCAGGTTGATCTAAGTGCTATGATTGGTAGGTGCATTGGTACTTGAATCCGTCTTCTGATGGAAATGCAGTGCTCTTCCCACTAAATCAAGATCCTTTTTTTTTATTTAAATTTTTTTTTATTGGGGTATTGAGGGGAAGGGAACAGTGCTGGGGAATTGGGGGAAGAGGAACAGACAAGTTGCTGTCGTTTTGTTCTTCAGTCTAGTTGTGGAGGACGTCGCTTCACTGGCCCAAGTTGGCACCATCATTGCGCTCTTCCCGGGTGAGGCACATCAGTCGCCGGCTTCTGGACGGCCACTCACTGTGGCTGCTGGCCACTCACGCTGGCTGCTGGCCACATACGGTAGCCCATGGCAACCCACTGCAGCAGGGGCTGCAGCCTACACTGTCGCCGGCGACTCACAGCAGCCCAGCTCCAGGTTGAGCTGTTGTTCAGCATCTTAGCTGTAGAGGGCAGTGTCACTGGCCCTCATATGTGGGATCCGAACCGGAGCCCTCTGGCGTTGCAAGCCAGTTCTTAACCATTGTGCCACTCGGCTGGCCCTCAAGATCCTTTTCAAAGAGGATCTTGTTTGCTTCAGGGAACACTACAACCCTATGGCACGAAAAGATGGAAAATCCCAGAAAAGCAGGATCCCAACAACCTAACAAGCAGAAAACTAAAATAAATGGCTTTTTTTTGGCATTGACAATAATTTTCATAATGGGTCTTCGAAAGCACTCCAAGCTGCAAAGTGCCATTCTAATAACCAAAGCAATTTTTAAATTTTTTTTTTTTACTAATAATTATTTGTATCTCAATTTGAAAATTAGCAATCTGTACCTGGTACACATAACCCCATTACCCACATACTTCCATCTGCTCATCTCTGCTCTCCAAAATCTACCCGCTTTAGTCTAGTTCTTTCCCCTGTGAAATACATTCTGATTTTAGTCTACAGTTAGGACGAGTTACTGTATTCAGTAAGTTCAGAGTGCACAGTGTCAGGTACTGAGCAAGGGGTGAGGAAAAGACACGTAAACTAATAATTCTGCCAATAAAAGAGGTAAAATAAAAATGCCATGTGAATTCAGAGAAAGGACTCTCACTCCTTGAAGGAACCAGAAGGCTCCAGAATTACCATATAAACTGGGTCTTGAAGGATAAGTAATAAAAGAGTAGGAAACTAGAAAAGGGAAATTTTTAAGCAAAGGAAACTGGGAAAATATGGAACCAACATGGGGATTCATGAGGTTCTGCTGAGATGGACAGTATGTGGTGAGAGTATTGGGAGGTAATCCAGGACTGCTGCATTGAGATCACACTTTGGAAATCTCTGAGATTAAGGAATTTTGGTTGTTCAAAAAATGGCACCCAGTAGGGACTTAATGATGATCCCGAGTTGTGCTCTTTGTCTTCTCGCTTGTACACAGGGATGCAGGAAAAGGAATGGAGGTAGAAGGCAAAGAGTTAACTCTGGGACACACTGAGTTTGAGATGATAATCAAAACATTGAGAGGAAGAGGTTTTGCAGCTAGAAGTACTGCCAATACCTAATGGTGACTGAGTACATACCTAATGTTTATAGAGCAAAAGAATGACTATCGTTGGAGAGGGGAGAGATCTGCAGTTAGAGATTTGGGCATCATCCAGAGACAATAAAGTCAAGTGGGTAAGAGCAAAGGGACACACAGCTTTCATTTACTCTGTGTCAGACTTTCAGGTGTCAAAGGGCCTTTAGTTCACAGATCTCTTTCCCACTTCTATTTTTAATGTATCTGCTCCACACCCTTAAATACTGTGTTCATTAATTATTTCACATTTATATCACATTTCACCTAGACTGCATATTCCCTGTATGAAGATACTTTAAAATTCTTTTGGATACTGTACAGTACAGTAGTCCCCTCCTTATCCGCAGTTTCACTTTCTGTGGTTTCAGTTACCCACAGTCAACCATAGTCCAAAAATATTAAAAGGAAAATTCCAGTAATAAACAATTCATAAGTTTAAATTGCATGCCATTTTGAGTGTGATGAAATCTAACACTGAGCCAACATTCACATAACTCTTATTACAGTATATTAATATAATTATTATTTTTTTCTAGCTGAGCCATCCTGCCACCCCTTGGCAGCTCAGCGGCAGCTCAGCTCGGGCTGGGCATCCAACCGCTGTTGCTCAGAGCTCGCACTCTTGAGTGAACTCTTAACCAACTGAGCCACTCAGCTGGCCCTATTATTATAATTATTCTATTTTATTGTTAGTTGTTACTATCTTACTGTGACTAATTTATAAATTAAACTTTATCATAGGTATGTATAGGAAAAAACAGTATATATACAGTTGAGCAGTATCCACAGTTTCAGGCATCCACTGGGGGTCTTAGAACGTATCCCCCACAGATAAGGGGGGACTACTATATCAGACACATAACTGACACTCTGTTAACAATGAATGGTAAACATGAATATCCAACCAAAAGAAGGCTCCATTAACTCAAGCTGGATAAATTAGAATGAGCTATTTTACAGGTGGAGAGATTAAATGTATGGCCCATGATGGTTCCTGCCAATCAGCTACAGGGTGGCAACTATGACTGAAGTTCCTTACACCCAGTTCACTTCTCTATGTCCACTGCTAGGTTTCTCAGGGAGCTTCCACATATCTCCTAGTGTCTAATGCCACTCAAGCAACACACCATTCATACTGTTAAAGCTCAAACACAAGGCACAGGGTGGACAGGCAGTTGTAACTTTATTGAGGTTCTTTTTAATTAAAATGCTTCACAGTAGAGACCACAGCTTCCAAAGGAAGTAGCCTCCTAAATGTTTCCTGCCCAATGATCCATAGATTAAAGTAGAATTTGGTTTATTCGCTATTTCCTTCCATCTCAGTGGCTAAGGGGTAATGGATGGAAGTGGAGAACGACCAAAAAGCAGCAAGGATGAGGCTCAGTCTTAAAAGAAAAACCCTGAAGGGCCTCAACTTCAACTAGCTGAAGTTTGTCTTACAGCTATTCATCACCCAGTTCCAGCCAATCAGGAATAAGTTAAATACAGTTTTGCCACCTCAGCTGACGACAGGAGCTTTCCAGAACTTGGGTCTACTTTGCACTAGTTGCCAATATCACAGCTGCCAAAATCACCAAAGGAGATTTCAGAACAGCTCATCTACCCTCTCACTCCGCTCAGGAGGCGGCCCAGGCTTCACCCCAGAGGTCAGTCCATCAGGCAGGCTTCATTTACGCTTCTTCTCCTGTGTGCTGGTGAACCAAGAGTCTAGGAGCTTCTTGCTGTAGTATAACTGCCAGGCATGCACTTGGACCGCCAACACCAACACCAGGTACATGACGGAGACGGCAGAAAAACCAAAGAGGAAGCGGTAGGCCTTGCCATGGCGGTAGAGCTGCTGTGCAGCGGGGAACATCTCCATGCTGCCATAAATGAGGGGAGCGATGGAAAAGAGCCCCATGCTGATCATGGAGAGCACCAGGTAGCTAATGTTGTTGCGGGGGAAGGAAAGGAGGCCCAACAGAGAGGGCACAATGCTCAGCAAATATGGGTACTCCCACTGATAGGGCATGGCCACTTGATCATGTGACAAGAGCCTCAGGTGTCCCACGCTCATCTTGGCAACCAACAACAGCCATAAGACCAGATGCACGTAGATCAGCTTCTTGATTTCATACTTGAGGGTCACACTGTGGGGCAGAGCAGAGAGAGAAGTACCTTTCATTCAAAATTTTCTGACCACCAACTACATGTCAGGCAAGTATACTGGACAATGGAATACAAATGTGAATGAAATATAGTTCCTGCCTAGAGGCTGGGCACAAGGAACAGAGGAAGAAAATAATTAGAAAACAAATTAGAAGAGCTCAAGTAAACATATGTTGCAAGTAACATGGGATTATAGGAAGCAGTAATCAGTTCTGCATGGGATGGGGTGTCTGAGAAAGCTATCTAGAGGAGGGTGATATTTGAGCAAGGCTCTGAGGGGTGGGTGAAGATGGGCATTCAAAGCAGAGGTAATTGCATGCAAGCAAGAAGGCATAGGCATTTGTGTTCCAGGAGAGCCTGTGGTTGGGTATGACAAAAATACATCATGGAGGGAATGGGAGAAGTGGGATATGAAGTTGCGAAGACTATGAAGAGTCAATTTAAAGGCAGAAGAGTAACTCAGAGCAGTGTTTAGAAAGATGACTTTGCACCATAGGAATATAGCCTAGAGCAGGGGTTGGCAAACTTTTGAGACGTTAGAGCCGCCAGGGGTCAGCAAATTGCGGCTCGCAAGCCACATGTGGCTCTTTGGGTACGTACATGTGGTTCTGAAGTAAAATTGAAAATGAAATATAACTATCATCGTTTCATTTATAAAATTTTTAAAGGATATTATTCACATAATGGTGATTATGTAAAAATATATTTATGGCTCTCTAATAATTTTTAAATTGTTGTGAGGGGCAGGATTGGATCTTCCAGTGGTTGGCAAACTTTTGAGACGCAACATACCCAAAGAGCCACATGTGGCTCGCGAGCCGCAGTTTGCCGACCCCTAGCCTAGAGGAAGAAGGTATTGGCAGTGAAGAAACCAGCTCACGCTGCTCATACTTCTTCAATTAGTGTAGATTTTCCATCTATAGGAGTAACATTTCTTAGTCTTCTAACTCTCTCAGGTGCTAAATGTATCCTCTTCACATCCCACAGGGCAGTTTCTGCTCTGGGCAGGCATGCTTGGGTTGTGAGGTATCCTTAGGCAAGGGTTAAATTTTAGGATAAGAGTAAAGTCAGGGTTCAAAGGGCTTTTTATTCTTTAAAAGATGCAAAAAACATTCCAGGAGAGTTTGATGGATTTAAGGAAAGAAAATCTTCAAAAAAATTTTTATTTTAAAAATATTCATTATAGAAAGTGAGGAAAGGTAGGGGGTAAAGATCAGTCACCTCTAGACTTCAAGATTCATGAAGGCAGGGACCAGTTTTTTGTTTGTTTTGTTAATAAGCTTTTTTATTGAAGATATAACAATGCATACAAAGACCAGGTCTGCTGTTGCTCACTATCATATCCTCAGTGGCTAGCGCTAAATGCATGATGGGTAGAAGCTCAATAAATACGTATTTGTTTGAATGAATAAACTAATGTAGAAATACCCTTTATGTGAGGGTGTTTATAAAATTCATTTTAGGTAGGGAAAGGCTGGTCTTTACAATACACATTCCCCAAAAGAGCCGAAATAGAACAGTTACCATGTATTGGGCAGACTCGTATTCTGTGCAGGATCTTTCGCTACGTCCTTTATACGAATTATTACCTCACTGATTTTTCACCCAACCCTAAAAGGTACATTACTTTTTTCCATTTGCAGGTGAGGAAACTGAGGCTCAATTAAATATTAGGTTCCCGAGGTCACACAGAGGGGACAGCTTCGCCGTGATTGGAGTCCAGGCGGGTCTGGACCCCCTCAAGTCACAGGGTGGGTCAAGGAGGGGAGCTTATCGGAGCAACAGGGCTTCCCAGGATTGGGGAGAGGCCCTGGGCCGTCGCGGGAGGGGACTTGGCAGGAGAGCGGGAACTGGCTGGGGAGTAAGAGCTTGAGGCCGGGGTTGGGGGGACGGGGGACGATGCTTCCCAAGCCCTGCAGGCTCCGACGGGGTAGAAGGCCTCCGAGCTCGTCGCCTCATTTCATACCTCATCTGGTAGTGCTTGGCGACGCGCTCCCGGTGCTGAAAGTCGCTGCCGTCAGTGCCGGCAGCTCGCGGGCCTGCCCGAGACGCCATTGAGCCAGTCACGCCGACCCTCGGCCGCCTGCAGATACTGTTCGCACCCCCTCAGCTCCACCACCCCAACAGTCGTACAATGTGAGAACAACTTCCGGCCTCTCTGTCTCTAGAGGACCGACTCTATGGTCGCTCCCCCCGTTCCCCCTACGCGCACGCGCACGCTTACGCGCGCGGTCTCACTCGACCCCGCTCGGGCCGCCTCTCTAGTGGAACGCGCCGGAAGTTAACCCCGCCCCACCCCTTCCACCCCCAGCGCTGGCACCTCGTTGCCTTCTACCTGTAGCGGATTCTCCAGCCTCTCGAGCAGTTTCACTTTCTTAAATTTTAACATGAGTTTAAGAAGCCGTTGTTCCCGCTTCACAGATGGGAAAATGTGCTTGGCAGGGTTCTGTGACTTTCCCAAGAACATGTATCACACAGTCTCAAAGTATCTTCCCATGGATTACATACATAATCGTTGCAAAGAGAAAACGGTGAGTTTACAGTGGAGAAACCTGGTGCGCACCCCCTCCACCAAGTAATCAAAGTTAACTTGACCACTAATGACACCTCGTGCCTCCTGATACTCTGAGGACCCAACGTCAGTTCTGTGATATTCCTGCCAAAGATGCTTAACCTGGATCTAATCATGAAGAGATGACAGATAAACTCAATTGAGGGCATTCTACAAAATAACTGGACTGGACTTCTTGAAAATGTAAATGCCATTAAAGAAAAAAGAATTGTGTAGAGGCAGAAAGTTAAATGGTGGCTGTCAGGGCCTGGGGGAAGAGGGAATGAGGAGTTGTTTAATGAGCACTGAGATGAAAAGGAAGACGAGAAAAGTTCTGGACATGAATGTAGTGATGGTTGCACAAAGTGTGAAAATAATGTCACTAAACTTAAAAATGGTTAATTTACTTATGTAACTTTGCTAACAATTGTCACCCCAATAAACTTTTTTAAAAATGGTTAATTTTGTTATGTACATTTTACCACAATAAAAAATAAATACATAAAATAAAAATTTAAAGTTATCTGAAAAAAAGCATCTTTTTATATGCTTACAGGTCAATTGAATTTAATTTCCCTGAACTGTGTTCATATTCTTTGCCCACTTTTCTACTGTTGGTGGTCATTTTAACTCGTATATAGGTAGAAAAGGGAGAAGACAGGAGAGAGAGAGAGAGAGAGAAGATTGGCCTCTTGTCTATATTAGTTGCAATATATTTTTCCTATTAATTGTATGTCTTTTGACTTTACTCATGGTATTACAAGTTTAACATGCAGAATATTTTTTGTAATGTAGTTGAATGTATAATCTTTTCTTTTTTGGCTTCTCAATTTTGAGCAGTAGCCAGAGTACTTCTCCACTCCACGGTGTCTCGAATGATTTTCTGAACCTTAGAGTTTGAGAACCATGCTCAGACATCTGCCTCCCCCACTGGAATATGATCTCTTCTAAGAAGGATAAGAGCCGAATCATGTGTCCCCAGCAGCCCACTATGTCTAGCATAGTGTAAAAGCTCAAGAAATGCTTGTTGAATAACAAAATTCCAACTGAGACAAAAGCATCCGCTTCTCCTAAACACTGTGAAGAATCCTCAGGTTCATGGAGCCATTCTAATCCCACCCCTCCACTCCTATCCCTCCACCCTTACCCCCATCCTCCCTGATAGATATTCTCTGGCTTTGGCTTGTGGTTATCTTTGTCTTTATTGAGTCTGCGGTCCGTGATGCACCAGGTGTTCGTCAGGGCCAGACTGCTGGTGAGTCATCCATTTGCCTATCATGGGACACCAAGCACACGATGAACATTCAATAAATGTTTGAGAAGTGACTGTCCAAGGGAGGGGCTGCAACTCTTTCCCCAGACCTTTCTCTCAGAAGTATTTGTTTATACTTTTCTTCTAGGTCTTGGTCTGCCTTAAAGTTTAGTGATTTGTGCTCCTGTCTCTTCACCCTGCTCATTCCCTTCTCAAATTCTTTGCAGTTGGTGTTTCCTTTGCCTTGAATGTTCCTTCTCCTCCAGGACTTCAAAACACTGGCTTTCAGGCCCAGGCAGAATGTTTGTGCCCCCCACCTCCACCCCATAATAGTTACATTGAAACCTAATCCCTAATGTGATGGTATTTGGAGGTGGAGTTTTTGGGAGGTGGGATTAGTGTCCTTATGAAAGAGACTCCCTTGCCCCTCTACCACGGGAGGACTCATACACTTCCTGTGTATGAACCAGGAAGCCGGCCCTCACCAGACACCAAAATCTGCTGGCATATTGATCTTGGACTTGACAGATTCCAGAACTGTGAGAAATAAATTTCTCTTGTTTATAAGCCACTAGACCAACGGTTCTCAACCTGTGGGTCATGACCCCTTTGGGGGTCGAACGACCCTTTCACAGGGGTCACCTAAGACCATCGGAAAACACAAAGATATTTACATTACGATTCATAACAGTAGCAAAATTACAGTTATAGAGTAGCAACGAAAATAATTTTACGGTTGGGGGTCACCACAACATGAGGAACTGTATTAAGGGGTCAGGGCATTAGGAAGGTTGAGAACCGCTGCACTAGACTATGGTATTCTGCTATAGCAGCCCAAATGATTCCAGGACTTCAAAAGACTGGCTTCTCACCAGTCAGGATTTAGCTGAAAGCCCACCTCCCCTCAGACTTTCCTAAGTCTAAGGTAAATCTAGCTCTCCAGCCATTTGCTATCATATCACTGTGTTTTGTTTTCTTCCCAGAACATCATTATCAGAAATTATTCTGCTTATTTGCATATTTGTTCATGGTCAGAGTTCCCCCTCCTTCAGTAATGTCAGCTCATTGAAGTGTGGGACAAAGCTGTCTTGTTTCCTGTATTCTCTGCCCCTAGGAGGGCTGGCACATAGTAACTAATATTTGCTTAATGAATGCATGATTGTTGCTTGGGAGCTCCTCCAGGGAAGGATTTAAATCTAAATAATAATGATGATGGTGATGATGATAATAGTAATAATAACTATTTATTGAGCCTGAAGAGTGTACTAAGTTCTATAGCAAGTACATTTCATGATTATCTCATTTAATCTTCATGACAACCTATTTTTCACCCCCATTTGTCAGATCCCACTGAAGCTTAGAGGAGTTACATCACACAATTTAGTGCTAGACTGCTGGTTTTCAAAGTGGGGTCTCTTAGTAGCTGCAGCTTCAACATCACCTAGGAAACTGTTAGAAATACACTTTCTTAGGCCCCACTCCAGATATACTGAGTCAGAACCTCCGGGATGGAGCCCAGCAATCTGAATTTAAAAAAAAAATTTTTTTTTAATAAATGTTTTTGGTTTTTTTAAGATTTTTTTTTTAATTGGGGAATTGGGGGATGGGAACAGCTCTGGGGAATTGGGGGAAGGGGAACAGACAAGTTGCTGTCCTTTTGTTCTTCAGTCTAGTTGTGGAGGACGTTGCTTCACTGGCCCAAGTTGGCACCATCATTGCGCTCTTTCCGGGCGAGGCAGATCAGTCGCTGGCTTCAGGATGGCCGCTTACAGCGGCTGCTGGCAGCTCACCCAGCAATCTGAATTTTAAAAAGCTCTCAGGTAATTCGGATGCACTAGTGTGAAAAACCCTCTGTTAACAGAAAGATGAGCTTGGACTCTTTTTAAAAACCACATTATTGAGATATAATTCGCATATCATACAATTCTCCCACTCAAATGTCCAATTCAATTGTATTTGTATGTTTACAGAGTTGTGCAACCATTGCCAAAATAAATTGTGATTAATGGATTACAACATTTTGTCTCACCTGAAAGAAAGCCTGTACCCATTAGCAGTCACTCCCCATTCCTCTCCCACTCCCCAGCACCAGCCCTAAGCAACCACTAATTTATTTTCTGCCTTTATAGTTTTGCCTATTGTGGACATTTCCTACAAGGGGAATCATAAAAATATATATGTAATCTTATGTGACTGGCTTCTTTCACTTTGCATAATGTTTTCAAAGTTCATTCTTGTAGTAGCATGTATCCTTTTTATTGACAAATAACATTCCATTTTTTTATACCACATTTTTTTATCCATCCATCAGTCGATGAATGTTTGGGTTATTTCTATCTTTTGGCTATTATGATTATTGCTATGAACATTCATGTATAAGTTTTTGTGTGGACATTTGTTTTAATCTCTCTTGGAGATCTATATCTATCTATCTATCTAGCTTTCTATCTAGGACTAGAATTACTGAGTCATACGGTCTTACTCTCTTAACTCTACACACTTCAGCTAGTTTTAGTCTGCTATTATTAAATAATTATATTATCAATAAAACCAATTTCTCTTCTATCAATTAAGGGTCTCTGTTGAAAAGCCCTTTAATTTTATTATCATGAATCTTCACCTCAATCCTTTGACACAGGAATCGTTATCCCTGTTGTACAGGTGAGAGAAATTGGGGCTCACAGAAATAAGGCAACTTGTTTACACTCAAACAGCTAACACTGGTGGAGCTGGGGCCACAATCCACATCTGTCTGTTTTCTGTGCCCTCTGTGCCTGATATCACGTCCTGTCCCAAAGCTTTCGAAACATGGCTTTTCCTCTCCTTTAGGACCTTTTCTGGAAGTTAGGCTGGCCTGAAATCCCAAGGGTGAGAGCTGCCCACTCACAATCCATGCTCTTTTCCCCAGTTGGGGCTGAAGGCCAGGGGAGGGGCTTCCCCAGTAGCTAGAAATAAAATGGAGGGAGGCCTGGGCTGAGCAGGAAAGTATTGTAAGGAAGTTAGGAGGCTGTGAGGGGGAGGTAAGGAGGTTTTTGTTTGGACGTGTTTTGTGTTTTGGCTCCTGGAGAGCAGGTGAGGTGGGGATTGGCAGAGTTTTGCTAAGGACAGGGAGTGAGGAATGAGGCCAAAACAAGCCGACTTGGTGCAAAGTGCAAAGTTAGGGAGAAGGCTTTCACAGACAGCGCTAGCCTGGGAAATCTCCCCCTTCCCCAGTTGTTGGAAAGAAAGAGTGATTTTATCTGACTGGGGAGGGGGCTTTTCTTCCATGATCACTCCTTGAACCCCTTGTTCAGTGAGAGGCCCTTTCTGCTTTGGGAGCTGGGATTAGGGAAAACATCTCAGAGCCAGGCACCCAGGAACTAGGGGGCTAAGGCAGAAATAGACACTTGGCTAGGAAGTAGGAATGGCAGGATGAAGGGGAAATTCTGTGAGCTGTGTAGGAAGGCTTTCTAATGAGTGGAAAGCAATGCAACTGGGGCTTCAAGGCTACAGACACTTAGCCCTGGGCCAGAGAAAGGCATTGCTGGTGGAAGGAATTGCTTGTGCAAAGGCTTGGAGCATGCAAGACCTGGAGCATAGAGGTTTAGGAGAGAAAGTGGTGGCAGGTGAGCTCAGGCCTATCAGCTAGAACTGTGCTGTCCAATATGGTTGCTAGTAGCCATAAGCCACAGTTACTATTTAAATTTAAATTAGTTAACTTTAAATAGAATTAAAAACCCAGCTCCACAGGTATACTAGCCACATTTCAAGTGCTCAATTGGAGCTAGTAGCTCCAGAAATGGAGAGAATAGATAGAGAATGTCTCTATCATCGCAGAACGGCTGTTGGGTAAGCAGGAAGCCTCAGAAGGGTTTGGGTTGCTCAAGGGAGACAACTGGCTTAGATTGGGCTGCCTGGCCTGTGAGGGCCTGACCTTTGAGGGCTCTGGACTACAGGCGAGGGAACAGTCCCCAGCAGTGTGAGGTGGTGTGACTCACCTTCTGCCAGCGTAAAGTGGACTCTGCCCCCAGGGACAGGAATTAACCAGGCTGTGCCTCTTCAGCCCCGACTTGGGATCCCTGATTAGTGTGACCGGAGCCAGGCTCAGAGAAACATGGAGTGAGTAGTACTAGGAAGGGCAGAGCAGCTGCTGAGTGGAGCTGAGCCTGGTTCCTGGGAGGGTCTCCGGCTTGGTCATATTTAGTGTGCATGGGGTTGGACAGGAGAAGGGCTGGGGAGGTATATATGAGTTGAGAGGGGAGACCAGAGTGGAGGGTTGCTGGATGGGGTGGGATCATACTGTTTCAAATGATGAGAGAAAGGGAACCCTCCCAGCCCACTATAATGAGCTGTTTCTGCTTCCTTCCCAGGTCCAACGTAGTCCAGTTGACGAAGATGGAATATGCCATGAAGTCCCTCAGCCTCCTCTACCCCAAGTCCCTCTCCAGGTGAGGAGAGCTAAGGGTAAAAGGGAAGGGGAACTCCCTGTGAGCTGTAGGGCAGAACTGTTCAAATTTCAGTGGGCACATAAGTCTCCTGGGCATCTTTTTTTTTTTTTTAAGATTTTATTGGGGAATTGGAGAAGGGAACAGTGTTGGGGAGTTATGGAAGGGAACATTGTGTTTTTCCAGGACCCATCCGCTCCAAGTCAAGTTGTTGTCCTCCAATCTTAGTTGTGGAGGGCGCAGCTCAGCCCCAAGTCCAGTTGCAGCTTTCAATCTAGTTGCAGGGGGGCGCAGCCCACCATCCCATACGGGAGTCAAACCAGCAACCTTGTTGTTAAGAGCATGCACTCTAACCAAGTGACCCATCCGGCTGCCCGTTGGCAGCTCAGCGGCAGCTCAGCTTGGGCACGGCCCATGTGGGAATCAAACCGGCGACCCTGTTGCTCAGAGCTTGTACTCTAACCAACTGAGCCACCTGGCTGGTCCCCCCTGGGCATCTTGATAAAATTCTGATTCTGATTCAGGAGGTCTGGAGTGGGACACAAGATTTTGCGCTTCCGACAAGCTCTCAGGTGGTGTTAATGCTGGTATGCACCCCCCTACCACCACCACCTGTTGAGCAGGAAGAGGTAGACACTATGTTTTGTGCTTTCATTCTTGATCTCATTTGAACCTCACCATAACTTTGGAAAGTGGGGATTATTATACTAAATTAATAGAGGGGGAAACTAAGGCACAGAATGGGCACTCTCAGTCACCTTGCAAATGGGTAGTGGGGCCAGGATTTGAACTTGGGCCTGCCTGACTCCAAAACCCAGGTTCCTGGCACTCCTTCTTTGGTTCTGTATTGTGTATGTCAGAGTTCAAAATGCCTTACACTTCCCCACTTCATCTCACTTTACAGTGAGAACAGTGAGGCCCAGAAAGGAAAAGTGGAATTGGGGGAATGTGGAGTGGGTCTTCTGTAAACCTTGCTCCTCCTCATGGTCTGAGAACCAGCAGAGTCAATATCACTTGGGAACTTACTAGACATATAGAATCTCAGACCCCACACAGACCTACTGATTCAGAATATGCATTTTACCAAGATCCCCAGAGGACTTAATGCCCATTAAAGTTTGAGATGCACTGATCCAGCAGGCTTTTAAGTAAGGCTATCTAGAGTAGGTTTGGTGGGTGGTAGGGGAGGAGGAATATGATGAGCTCAGCCTAGAGGGTTTGGGGAGTGAGTTACCTTGTTATGGACAGCAGACAGCTCATTTTGATACCTCAAACTGCCCTCAGGTATATGGCAGTGAGCACCTCGGTGGTGACCCAGCAGCAGCTGTCAGAGCCCAGCCCAGAGGTCCTCAGGGCCCGGCCCTGCAGAGTGAGCACCACTGACAGGAGGTTGCGGAAGGGCATCATGGCGTACAGTCTGGAGGACCTCCTTCATAAGGTTTGGGGCGGCCCTACCCTTCGCACAGCCCAACCACTGGGACCTTGGCTAAGAGTTGGCCCTGAAAGCTGCCTCTCTCCCCCAGGTCACGAGCTGGGAGTTCAACGGGGATGGAGTTCATGGCTTAGATGGTGAAAAGATTTTCTTTCTGATGCCAGCTCCCACGGGTTGGTAGAGCCGGCTTGGAGTGCTGTCCAGTTGGTTAGTGATGTCTGTCTGGTGACAGGAGGAGGGCAGTATGTTGCCATCTTATACTGACATTAGGTCAGTGGTGTTTTCAGAGCATATTTTTATTTCTGGAAGGACCCTTAGGTTGCCTTTTCCAGTAATTCTTAAACTTGTAGAAGTGCCTGGAAGTTGGGGAAATGGGCAAGATTTTAGACGTTCCCTTTCCTGTCTCCTCCCTTCAGCCAGGGCAGTTCTCCTTCGATCTGTCTCTTACGTTGTTGGTCTTCCATGGAAGTCTTTGTTAGTAGTTGTGGAAGACTTTCTTCAAACTATTGATCAGGTAAACTTCCAGAGGAGGAAACCAAGGTTACACAACTCTTGTGGATGGTAGTCATAGCAGGCAAGAATGATGCCCTTCTCCATTTCCAGGCTCCCTCTCTACTTGGTTGGAGGTAACTTCTCCCACTGCCTGGCCTACAGCCTCATCTAATCTAGCTTCGTATTCTTCATGTGCTTCACTGCCCCATTAGTTTATCAGCTCCAGGGGGTGGGACACCGCTCATCTGCAAGCCCAGGTGCCTGGCACAGATCAAATGTTTGGATTAGACTTCCAATTACTAGTCTGTTTAACATATAGAAATTGTAGCTGACCTTACCCTCTATTCTACGTTCCCCATTTCTCTGAATTAAGTCTATTCTTCCTGGGAGCCAATTTCTCCTCACTTGTGAGGCTTCTGACTGTGCCAGACTACATTTCTTGTGCCTTGAATCAAAAGTGATCTTTCACACTGAGTCTAGAATCCGTACTGTTTTTCACTTTGAGGTCTGGCAGCCACCTCCTGCATGGCCTTGTTAACATATGGCTTTTCACACTTCACCTCTGAGACTGATTAGGTCATGAGTGAGGCCCAGGGATTGTGATCTTTAGCAGGTTCTTCAGGAGATTCTTACAGCTGAGTTTGACCCTTAGTCAGAGTCCAAACTCCAGAGGATGCAGGGAGGAACAGCAGTGAGGGTCCAGCTTTCTAAGATGGACCACAGTCAGATGTGAATCTTCCAGATAAAGCAGGGAGGAAGACATCAGCCTATCTAGACTCCCTCTCCAAATCTGGCAACACAAATAAAGGAGCAGAGAGAGTGATGGGGGAGAGGGTAAGGCAATATGGTTGGCAGCCACCAGAGTATGTCCCTTATTGTCCATGGCAGAGAACAGTTGGGTTTTATTTTAAAAGATAGCGAACAGTAAGCCATTGGAGGATATTTTTTAGAAAAACTAATTTTGAAACAATCTCAAACTAACAAAGTTTGCAAGAACAGTACAAGACTTCACTTGAATCACTTGAGAGTAAGTTGCCAACATGATGCCTATCATTTTTGGATACTTCAACGTGTGTTTTCTTCAAACCAGACATTCTCTGATATAACCACAATACAGCCATCAAAATCAGGGAAAACAAATGTTACGTGTCGACCACTTAATCCTGAGACTCCATTCAAGTATTGCCCATTGTCCCAATAATGTTCTTTGTTGCAAAAGGGCCCGGGTCAGGATCAAGTGTTCTATTTAATTGTGCATCACTTTAGTGTCCTTCAATCTGGATCAACAGTTCCTCCATTTCCCTGACTTTCATGGTTTGACTGTTTTGAAGATTATGAGCCAGTTCTTTTGTTTACTGTCCTTCAGTTAAGAAATGTCTAATTGCATACAATTTTGAATTGTCACATTACTGTTTAACTTTGATTATTTGAATTAAGAAGGTACAGTCAGGCTTTTCTGTATAAAGTTATTATTTTTCTCTGTGTTAATTATTTTCTAGGGAGGTACTTTGTACTAAGTAAACATATCATTCTGCATCTAACTTTCAATTTATTCACTTACTTATATGAAAAAAAGGACTCAAGTATTCCTATTTAAATGGGCTACAAGGATAGTAACAGATAATTTATTGTTGCTCAAATTGTCCTAGACTTAGCCAGTGGGACCCCCTTCTGTCTACTTCTGTGTTGTGCTTTCTGATTTCCTGGCACAAGGTATTGCAGGCTTATCTTGTACTTTCCCTGCTCTAGCTCAGTTTTTCTAGGGAAGCCTGCTTCATTTTAGTATAGAATGGTATTTAGAAACCAAGATCTGAGAGCTAGGTGTGTTCATTGCTATTGGTATATTGCTGATCACAGGCCTTTATTAAAGGATTTTAAACAGAAAAATGTGTTCTCTTGTGAATCCAAGTAAGAAAAGTAGAGAAAATTCTACTACTCCAAGGTAACTAATGGTGTGGTTGTGAATGTCCTAGTCTATCCTTATACTTATACAGCTTACTTAATTGAGGTTATGTAGTATGTAACGTGACTTTTCAGTCTATGGCATGTTGTGGGTCTTTTTCCATTTTTAATTACTATAGTATAAAATTTAGTAAATAAATATTATGGTCCATGTACTCTAGCAGGTGAATTATAGCATTTTTTTAAATTAAAGTTTATTGGGGTGACAATGTTTAGTAAAATTACATAGGTTTCAGGTGTACAATTTTGTAATAGATCACCTATATATCACATTGTGTGTTCACCATGCAGTCAGTTATTCTTTTATCACCATATATTTGATTAATTTATAGCATTTCTTGTAATCCTAATCTTGAGTTAGTTACTATTATTCCCATTTTTTAGAGGCAGAGGCCAAGTTCACTGGAATTTAAACCCAGGCTGTCATCTCATACACTTTTGCATATAATCACTGGGGAGGCTCTTAAGACTGTACTTGCCTCAACTTTTTAGATGATGAAACTAGTTCAAAGAAATGTGATAAGTTGATTAAGTTCAGGACAATGAGTAGGGAAGTAAAATTCAAACCTAAGTCTGTTTATCTCTAGAGTTGCACTATCCAATGCAATAGCTACTAGTTACATGGGGTTATTGAACTCTTGAAACGGGTCTAGTTGAAATTGAGATGTGCTTAAGTATAAAGTACATATAAGGTTTTGAAGACTTAATATGAAAAAAATGTAAAATCTTATAAATTTTAATTTTTATTATATATGTTTAGGTTGAATTAAATATATTACAAGTAATTTTACCTGTTTTTATTTTAATGTGACTATTAGAAATTTTCAAATTACATATGTGTGATAAATAGCATCTATAAAAAAACTTGATAGCTAATATCATACTGGAATTCTGAAAGCTTTCCCCTTAAGATAATGAATAAGATAAAGATGTCTGCTCTTGCCACTTCTATTCAACATTGTACTGGAGGTTCTAGCCAGGGTAACTTGGCAAGAAAATAAAACAAAAGGCACCCTGATTGGAAAGGAAAAAGTAGAACTATATCTATTTGCAGATGACATGATCTTGTATATTAAAAACCCTAAGGAATACACACACACACACACACACACACACACACACACACACACACAATTAGAGCTAATAATTGAGTTCAGCAAGGTTATAAGATATAAGATCAATCTATAAAAATCTGTTTTATTTCCATATATTGGCAATAAACAATCTGAAAATGAAATTAAGAAAGAAATTCCATTTATAATAGCATCAATAAGAATAAAATATCTAAGAATAGATTTAACAGAAGTATAAGACTTGCAGATTTAAAATTAACATTGTTGAAATAAAATAAATTGAACACCTAAAGAAGGCCTAAATAATGAAAAGACAAGTGTGCTCAGGGATTGGAAGGCTTAATATTGTTAAGACGACAATATTCTCCGACTTGATCAGCAGATTCAATGCCATTGCCATTAAAATGCCAGCTGCTCTTTTTATAGGTATTGACAAGCTGATTCTAAAATTTATATAGAAATACAATGGATTCAGAGTAGCCAAAAACAATCTTGAAAAAAAACAAAGTTGGAGGACTCATACTTCTTGATTTCAAAACTTACTACAAAGCTACAGTCAGTAATCAAGACTGTTATATTGACATAAGGATAGACACACTGTATTGGTTTATTAAGGCTGCCTGGTACTTAAACAACAGAAATTTATTTTTGCTCAAATCTGGAGGCTAGATCAAGGTGTTTTCAGGTTTGATTTCTTCCGAGGCCTCTCTCCTCGTTTTGGAGACGGCTGTCTTCATGTTCACATGGTCTTCCCTCTGTGTGTTTCTTTGTCCTAATCTCCCCTTCTTATAAGGATACTAGTCATATTAGATTAGGGCCCACCCTAATGACCTCATTTTAAATTACCCCTTTAAAAAATCCTATCTCCAAATACAATAACATTCTGAGGTACTGGGGCTTAGAACTTCAACATGTAAATTTTGGAGAGATATAATTCAGCCCACTATACATACAAGTCAATGGAATAGAATCGAAAGTCCAGAAATAAACCCATGTTTCTGTAGTCAATTGATTTTCGACAGGGTGCCAAGGCTATTCGATGGAGAAAGAATAGTCTTTTCAACAAATGGTGGTGAGACAATGGAATATTCACATGCAAAAGAATGAAAGTGGATTCCTATATCACACTATGTACAAAATTAAGTAAAAATGGATTGAAGTGCTAAATATAGAGCTAAAACCCTTAGAAGAAAACATAGGTAAATCTTAATGATCTTGGTTTCTTAGTTATGGCACCAAAGCACAAGCAACCAAAGGGAAAAAATCGGACTTCATCAATATTAGAAACTTTTGTCATCAATAAACACTCTCAAAAACAAAAAAACAATGAAAAGGCAACCCACAGAATGGGAGAAAATATTTGTAAATCACATACCTGATAAAGGTCTAGTATCAAGAATATATAAAGAACTCTTATAACTCAACAATAAAAAGACAACCCAATTAAAAATGGGCAAAGGATTTGAGTGGATATTTCTCTAAAGAAGATACACAAATGACTAAGAACACATGAAAATATATTCAACATCATTAGTTGTCTACAAAAAGCTGACACATGGTTGGGCTATTAAGTATTTTTTGAGGTAGAACTTTTTATTGATATCTTTTTATAGGTTCTTTATTATTAGTTGAAGGAATAGAAAATGTAACTTTAGGACAATTTTGAGGATGTAAAGGTATTGTATAAAAACAATCCTGTAAATCAACTACTATCAAAGGCCATTTTTTTGGAATCGTGGACAGTTGTGGAAGTCCAGGCTGTAAAGCATCCATGGGCTCAATGAGAGCATTAACTGCTCGGAGGTCAGTGAGTATTTGTCATTAAAAAAAATTTTTTTTAATGACAAATACTGGAGAATTCCTGGGACTTGTAGAAGGTTCTATATGATTTAATTTTAATTGAATCTGTACTAATTCTGTTAGAGACTCTAATTTTTTTTGAGATAGGGGCCACTGCTCGATCCATAGAGGCATGATTTTTATCCATTTGAGAGCTACAGGAGTTTGCAGCTCAGTGACAGTGGCCCCTACAAAAAATGTTCTTGTGTCTCTGTCCAATAACGCCAGATATCATGTCCCACGTGACAAGGGCTGGGGTTTCGAGGAGGGGCGGCGACGGGGTTAAGAAATCACAAGAGTCAAAAATAGAGTTTCTGCGGGCCAGGGTCTTGTCTCTGCAGACTGAGAGAGCAGCAAGTCCTGATACTGGCGGGTGAATAGCTTTTATTTACAACTGTCACAAAGAAGTCAATTTGAATATCTATACCCAGTTAATTGATTCGATAAGACCGGCAGCTGCTTCACCGAAACTTATTGTGATCAAGCACGAGTTGTGCTTTCACACGTACGTATGATCCCCGGGATGGACTCAGCCTTCCGAGACCACCGGATAAGGAAGTTTTACCGAGATCATTTCCTCCGGTCTCAGCATTTCAAGACACTCCCTTATGACTTTAAAGGATCAGTGCACAGGAGCATTTGAGTCGGCAGTGGCAAGGCGACAATTAGTCATTAGAGAAATGCAAGTAAGAATCACTTCATACCCATTAAACTTGCTTAAAAAATAAAAGACAGACAATAACTAGTGCTGATGAGGTTGCAGAGAAATTGGAATCTTCATGCATTGCTGGTGGGAATATGAGATGATGCAGCTGCTTTGGAAAACAGCTCCTCAAAGAATTAAACATGAGGTTAATTGTATGACTCAGCAATGTCACCCCATAGGTATATACCCAGGAAAATTAAAAATATACGTTTACCCAAAAATTTGTACATGAATGTTCATAACAGCATTATTCATGATACTCAAAAATGGAAATAACCAAAAGTCTATCAATTGATGAATCAATTAAAAATGTGGTTTATCTATATAGTAGAATATTAAGCCATGAAAAATGAATGAATCATGTTACAACATGGCTGAACCTTGAAAACATATTAAGTAAAAGAAGGCAGTTTAAAACGATGACATAATTCCATGTATATGAAATGTCCAGAATGAGCAAATCCATAGAGACAGATAGTAGAGTTGCCGTGGATTGGAATGGAGAATGACTGCTAATGGATAATGAGTTTCATTTGGGGTGATGCAATTAGATAGTGATAGTGGTTGCATAATTTTGTGAATATACTGAAAAACACTGAATTGTATCCTTTAAAAGGGTGAATTTTATGACATGAATTATATCTCAATAGAAAATTACATGTGTGACTCCCATTATATTTTTATTGGACAACATTGTTCTAGAATATTAACCACGACCCCAGGTACCAAGGGGTACCATAACACAGAGTCTTGGTATGGTGATACCACAGCAAGAACTGGGGTTCCAGTCCCATTCCACCGACCCTGGCCCACTTGTTCTTTCCCTGACAGCTGGGGTGATATGACATGGGTCTTCCCCATACCAGCTCTGTGGCTGCATGGGGACGGCAGAAACATCACTAACTTTATTCCCCAGGTCCAGGACACCCTGAGGCTGGCGGACAAGCCCTTCTTCCTGGTGCTGGAGGAAGACGGCACAACTGTAGAGACAGAAGAGTATTTCCAAACCCTGGCAGACAATACAGTGTTCATGGTGCTCCAGAAGGGGCAGAAATGGAAGCCCCCATCAGAGCAGGTGAGCTACCACCTGTGGAGGAAGAACAGTGGGAGCCTGGGAGAAGTCTCTGAGGAGTGCCAACCACATGCTTGTCTTGATGCAGCGCACTAGGTCTCAACTCTCCGTCTCCCGTAAGTCTGCCAAGAAGATTGATGTGGCCCGTGTAACCTTCGACTTGTACAAGGTGAACCCACAGGACTTCATTGGCTGCCTGAATGTAAAGGCGACTCTCTATGGCACATACTCCCTTTCCTACAATCTGGACTGCTACGGGGCCAAGCGCATCATGAAGTAAGTGCATTGGGATTAGCTGGGGACAGGGTGGGTACGCAGCAATGCAAGAGCCCCCATCTGCTCACCTGGACCTCAGCCTTCTAGGGCCTAGGAGTGGTATTAATGCTGACACAGCATGACAGTTAGCATTTGTCTAGAACTTATGACTGAACTAGTGCTTTAGATTTCACTAGTGTATGCCAAAGGAGTATATACTCCTCCAGGTAGAACCAGTATAGATTTAGTTTTTCTAATTACCTTCTGCTATAACAATCTTTTTTCACTTAAAATAGTAAGTTTTCCTAAGTAGTCTTCCAATCAACTTTTTAAAAATGAACATGCATCAAAGATTTTATTGAACTCATTAATGAGACAACCAGCAAGAAGCTACAATCAGTTGAAAGGAGAATTCAAAATCCCACCCACATACAGGTCCATGAAGGATGATGAAATAGGGGCGGCCGGTTAGCTCAATTGGTTAGAGCGCAATGCTCATAACACCAAGGTTGCCGGTTTGATCCCCGCATGGGACACTGACCTGTGCCCTCCACAACTAGACTGAAACAACTACTTGACTGGGAGCTCATGGATCCTGGAAAATCACACTGTTCCCCAATTAAAAAAGAGAGAGAGAGAGAGAGAACGATGAAATAAACAGCAAATAGAAAAAAAAATTAAAAACAAAGAATGCTGAAATAAGTTTACAAATCAAAATTGGATTTTTCCATGGGGTAAGAGAGATGAAATAATTGTCCCTCCATAGGACAGAATTGCTTTGCTTTTTTTTTTTTTTAAAGATTTTTATTGGGGAATTGGGGGATGGGAACAGTGCTGGGGAATTGGAGAAAGGGGAACAGACAAGTTGCTGTCCTTTTGTTCTTCAGTCTAGTTGTGGATGACGTTGCTTCACTGGCCCAAGTTGGCACCATCATTGCGCTCTTCCCGGGCAAGACAGATCAGTCGCCGGCTTCTGGACGGCCACTCACTGCGGCTGCTGGCCGCTCATGCTGGCTGCTGGCTACACACGGTAGCCCATGGCAACCCACTGCCACAGGGGCTGCAGCCTACGCCATCGCCATCGCCAGCGACTCCTGGCAGCCCAGCTCCAGGTTGAGCTGTTGTTCAGCATCTTAGCTGTAGAGGGCAGTGTCACTGACCCTCATATGTGGGATCCGAACCGGGGCCCTCTGGCATCCCAAGCCAGCTGTTAACCAACTGAGCCACTCGGCCGGCCCTACTTTGCATTTTTATAGACAATTAGTCATTGTCTTGTCTAATGAACTTTTTAAAACGTTTTACTTTACATTTGAAAGTTTAATCAAGTATCATAGGAAGCATGAGAATATATTAAATCATAAGACGAATACTGTTATGGTAGTGTTTCCTGAATTCAGCTGCTCCATTGTTACTCTAGAAAATTCTTACTCCATTAGATTGGATGTAACCGCTGAGGCAGAGGCCATCCAATTAGTCCAAAGTCACAAAACTAGGGAGTAGCAGAGCATGGCCTCTTGCCAGTTTCTTCTGACAGATTCTACTCCTCTCCAGTTGCTACATTCAGTATCTACTGAGCACCCACTGTGTGCCTGGCCCTATGCTGTAAGCTGAAGAACAAGATGTCAGAACAAACTCCATGAAGGCAAAAATGTCTGTTGCCTCCAGTACCTTGATGAATGCTGGCATATAGTAGTAATTCAAATTGAAGAATGAATGAAGGCACATATGATCCTTGTTTTCAGGGGGCTTCTGAAAAATCTTGCTCAGAGTCCCCAGAGTTCTGCCAGGGCATGTGTAGCTAGAGCATATCAGACCTTATTGGCTTTCTGAGTTTATTCTCTGCACACCCAATCTGCAGATGAGGGACCTGAGGCTGCGTGGCTCTGCTTGCCAGAGATGACACTCAGTAGCAGGCTTGAGCCTGGTTCTGCGGCTAGAAGTTCCATTTTCCTCCTATATTATTAGAGCATGCATGCCCTCTCTTGTTCCGGGCTTGCTGCCAGTAGTTTGCAGATTTCAAAATCTAAAGCAAGAAGTTTCAGTCCATTTAGGGGAAGTGGGACTCTCGGCCCTAAACACAGGAGACATCTTGGTATCTAAAAAAAAAAACAAAAAACATTGCAAGCTGGAGTCAGTGTAGTGAGTTCGTGGAGTTGGCTAGTTGTTTTTCTTAAATTGTGCTAAAATATACATTACATAAAAATGACCATTTTAACCACTTTTAGGTGTCCAATTCAGTAACATTCACAGTGTTGTGTAAGCCTCACCACTATCTGTTTCCAGAACTTTTTCATCATCCCAAACTGAAACTCTGTCCCCATTAAACACTAACTGTCCACTCTCCCTCCCTCCAGTCGTTGGTAACGTCTGTTCTCCTTTCTGTCTCTGTGAATTTGCCTATTCTAGGGACTTCATACAAGTGGAACCATACAAGGCTTCTCCTGTGACTGGCTTATTTCACTTAGCATGATGTTTTCAAGGTTCATCCATGTTGTAGCGTGTGTCAGAATTTCATTTCTATTTATGGCTGGACAACTGTTTTAAGCCTCAGTTCTCTAATTTGATAAATGGGTATACTTCTTGAGTATAATCTTTGCATTTTAAAAATATTTTCATGTGTAGCTGTTTATGATTCTAATTGTCTTTCTGCTGTCCTCCACCTCAACCATAATTTATTGAATGAAGGTTAATAGAAAACAAATTTTAATGTCAGCCAGAAAGTAGTATTTATTTTCCTTTTGTATTCCCCTTCCCGATCCCCCTTAGGACTAGACAGCCCTAGTGACTCTCATCTATCTCTTTTAAACATATTTGGGTAAGAACTTGGTTAAAGTCGTCAAGTATCCAGCCAATTACCCTTGACCCCATCTTTCCCTGTGTTAAATGATTTATGTTATTTCAACCTCTTAACCCTGTGTGGGATCAAAATGGTATCTTCATGTCCAGCACTCTGAAAATTAGCTTGACTGCAAATGACATGGAAAGGCCTCAGAGTCTAGAACAGACATTGGGCAGCATTATGATCTTCACGTTATGGAGGCCACACTGCTTGGTCCAAAGTAGTAATTACAAAGTAGTATTACAAAAATAAAAATTAAATGAGCTTGAATTTTGCATGAGAAAATAGAGAGGTTGTGGACATCTCAATTTTATTTCATTTATTTATTTATTTATTTTTTACATCTCAATTTTTAAGGTATGATTGCAGGTAATGCCTGTAGGCCCTTTCCTGTTTGCTGAGGGAAGGCAACATCTATTCCTGTTTGCATGTCGCTCTTTAAGTGATGAAACTATGAAGGGAGCATGGGGAAGGAAGTATTTAGGGGATGCAGGCAAGGGTTTTCCTTGTGTTTTGACTCTACTGCCTTCTCATTCCACCCAGGGAAGCTCTTCGCTGGGCCCTCATCAGCATGCAGGCCACAGGGCATGTTCTTCTCGGCACCTCCTGTTACATGCAGCAGCTCCTGGATGCCACAGAGGGAGAGCAGCCCCCCAAGGCCAACGTCCCATCCCTCATGCCGACCTGTCTGAAGCTTCTGCAATGAAAGCCCAAGTCCTCAGAGGCTTTCCCCAGCCGAGGACTAGACTGGGGACCCCATGCGCAGCTTGTAGCACCCACAAGCCTGGCAGAGAGCTTCTTACCTCCCCACACCTCCTTTACCCCCACAGGACCATGAGTGTGGAAGCAGGGGGAAGGGCTGGAAACCTGGGGTAGGCTGGCCAAAGGGGAGCTGAGGGTTCTTGGCCTGGCCCAGTTCCTTCCTGCCCAAGGTAGCTTAGCTGACCAAGGCTGGTCACCAGCAGGCTAGGCCTGAAGTCTGCCCCTCAGACACCTGTCCTCACACGCTATACTTTCATCACACTTTCTACCTCCTGGCCCTTGTCCCTAATACTCCTGAGTGAATAGTAAGGCTCACTAATGTATTATATTAGAGATTATAATGTATTGTATTACAATAAATGATTTATGCTGATACATCTTCTTTGCCTGTGTTCTTTGGGAATGAGGGTGGGGTTCCAACTGGAAGGTTGGAAAGGTTCAAGGAAGAGATGACTCTATTGTCAAATCATTCTCTAAAATGTGGCGTTACAGGAAACAGCACTCCTTCTGCCAAAAAAAAAAAAATTGCAGTTGATTCTGGAACTAATGTCTGCTTAATCGAAGACTTGAGCAAACCCTTTAATCTATAAAATAAATAACGATTTCCAAAATAAATTTGCCCATCAGAAGGGCTTTGATTGGCAGGGTGGGATTAAGGCAGTCTTCTAATTTCCCACTGTAGCATTTTATTACAGCTTTTCAGTGTTTAGGTGGGAAAGTACTAACTAAGGTGTAACACAGCTCTCCATCAATGTCTTCCCTAGCTTGCTAGGACAGTTCAGAACTTTCAACCTCAGTATTTCAAAGTGAGCTGTTAGCCACCACGAAGAATATTAAATTCTCATCGGTGTGAGCTGGCAGTTTTCAATATAGAGCAACTCAAACAAGACAAGCATGAAAAGCTAGGTTTGTAGGTGATTGTGCTTTAGTCTGTGACTCAGATTTACAAACGTGTCATTTCTGACCTTTACCATAAAGCTTATTTGGGTTTATTAAAAACAAAAACAAAGGCTTGTGTTACCAAAGCTAGAGCTGGAGAGTTATTGCTGGCAGTGGACCCAGACCCCGCAGCCATTTGTGGGAAGAGCTGCCAGAGCTAGCAGAACACTTTCTATTCTAAACTTTTCTGCTCTTGCAGTTATGGCTGGAGGCCTGGCTCAGTGCCATCCTGGATATGGAGGTACAATGACCAGAAGCTATTCCTGGTCAACGCTTGCTAAGGCCATGGCCTACTTGCTCCTCCTGTAAAGTTAATCATACCGCTGAGATGGACTGGGGTGGCAGAAGCTTAGAATTAGTCACCACACCCCCTCCTCCTGAGAATCAGAGTTTCACAAGTGCGTTGTGTGACTAACTCTTGGCACTGAGCCCTTTCAGCCCAGGAAAAATGAGTTCTTGCTTTTCTTCCAAGAGCTTGGAGGCTAATGGAGTCACACAAACTGTGGACAGTATACAGGAAAGGACAGCCTTTGATGAGCCTGCGGTGTGTGGAAAATTCCAAAGAGCAAGGGAGCTCAAATCTCAGCAGGGCCAGTGGCCAGTCCAAGTGGGGGAATGGCCTCTCTTGGGGCCAAGTGCCGCCAGTGGAGGAGAGGTCTGTTGCAGCAAGGCAGGCCATGTCCCGGCCCCTTGGCCTTAGTCTTTGCATCTTGATCAAAGCTGGTACCTATGAATGCGCAGAAGACATTCTTTCAGAAAAGACATTCTAAAATACCGTGGGACCTGGGCCGGCCGAGTGGTTCAATTGGTTAAGAGCTCGCTCAAGAGTTTGAGCTCTGAGGAACAGCGGTTCAATGCCCGGCCAGAGCTGAGCTGCCGCTGAGCTGCCAACAGGTGGCAGGATGGCTCAGCTAAAAAATAATAAATAAATAAATAAATAAATAAATAAATAAATAAATAAAATACCGTGGGGCCTTATGACAAAGCATAGTAATGTCCAAGCCTAAGCCCAAAACAAGATAAAACCACTTGCAATCTTGCCAAACATCTTGCCAGTCTTGTCTATACAGAATGTATACACATTTTAAAAAACATAAAAACTGTATTAAAATGTTACAATATATACCGATGACAAAAGATGAATACAAGTCATGTGTATACATTTTTTGGCACCTCCAGTATTTGCACATTATTTATTTAAAAATTGATTATTTAAATATTTGAATTTTAAAAAGTTTCTTGTATAACTTATATACAATAAAATTTACCCTTTTAAAGTATATAGTTCAATTAAGTTTTGGCAAATTAATACATTTATATAACCACCACTTCCAGCATGCCAAATAGCTCCCTCATGCCCCTGTCTAGTCAATCCCCACCCTCCCACCCATCCCAAGCCCTTGGTAACCACTGACTATTTTTTGCCAATATAGTTTGCCTTTTCTAAAATGTCATTTAAATATAATCACCCAGTCTTTTAAAAAATTTAGCTCTACTCATTTTTATTTTAAAACATTTTTATTATTTAAAATTTTTTATGGGGCTGGCCAAGTGGCGGGTTGTTCAAGAGCTGGCTTGGGACACCAGCTCTGAGCAGCAGGGCCCCGGTTCAGATCCCACATGAGGGCCAGTGACACTGCCCTCTACAGCTAAGATGGTGAACAACAGCTTGACCTGGAGCTGGACTGCCGTGAGTCGCCAGCGATGGCATAGGCTGCAGCCCCTGATGCAGTGGGCTTCCATAAGCTACCGTGAGTGGCCGGCAGCCAGCGTGAGCTGCCAAGAGCTGCCGTGAGCGGCCATCCAGAGGCCAGCGACCGATCTGCCTCACCTGGGAAAAGCACAATGATAATACCAACATGGGTCAGTGAAGGAACCTCCATAACTAGACTGAAGAACAATAGGAGAGCAACTTGTCTGTTCTTCTTCCCCAATCCCCAACGCTGTTCCCCTCCCCCAACTCCCCAATAAAATCTTAAAAAAATTTTTTTTTTTATGAATCTTACAGTCTTTTATATCTGGCTTAGTTTTTTAAACTAGGGGTGTGTATGTCTGTAGAAGAAATATTTCAATGAGATAAGAAAACTTAAGCAGTTCCAAAGGGTAAAAATAATTATCTTCTCACCTCTGATTCCTTCTCCAGAAGCAGCCACCATCTTGTTTTTGTGTCCTTTCAGAAATGCAGGCATACATGAACCTAATATATATAAATCACACACACACACACACACATGCAGTTATGCACCCCTTAACGATGAGGATATTTCTGAGAAATGCATCATTAGGCGATTTTGTTGTACAAGCATCATAGGGTACACTTACCTAAACCTAGATGGTATAACCTACCGCACACCTAGCTACATGGTGTAGCCTATTGCTTCCAGGCTACAATACAAGCCTGTATAGCATGTTACTGCACAAAACAACATGAGATTAAGCACAAGAGAAAATAATACAATCAAGGGAGGAAGTAAGCATGAGGTATGTGAGGCTGCTGTCGGTATAACATGGCATACTGTTTTAAAGCAAACTATTTTTTATAAGCAGAAAGAGTATACTCTAAAATAACAATAAAAAGTATAGTAAATACATAAACCAGTAAAATAGTCATTTATTATATTATCAACTATTATGCACTGTACATAATTGTATGTGCTATATTTTTATGCGATTGGCAGCGCAGGTTTGTTTACATCAGCATCGGCACAAACACGTGAGTAATGCATTGCACTATGACGTTGCAACAGCTACGATGTCACTAGGCAATAGGAATTTTTCAGCTCCATTATAATCTTATGGGACCACCATCACGTATGTGATGTGGTCTATAGTTGCCTGAAAAGTCATTATGTGGCACATGACTATATGTATACAGTATATGCACTTCTAGTCACACTGTCCTCCACTTTGCTTTTTTGACTTAATATATTCTGAAGATTGACTCATATCAGCATATAGACCTACACATTCCTTAATGGCTGCATGTATGTATGTGCTACAATTGACTTAGCCACACTCCTGTTGATGGATTTAGGTTAATTTGAAGTCTTTTGCTAATGCAAACAATGCATTGAAAGTTACAGTGCTCTTAGTAAATAAAATAATACACAGATTGCATGTAATTTCTCTACAGTTGTAATTACAGAATCCATTTTGTCTTTGCTTTTTTTTTTTTAACCTAGCTTATTTCTCCTGTTATTCCCGCCTTCTGCCTCCTAGTAAATTTCTATTGGTTCTTCACAACCTGCCCATCACAACCCATGCTGGGACACCTTTTCTGATTTCGCCTTCACTCTCTTCTCTCTCTATTTTCCCAGGGCTTAGCAAGGTGCATTATGATGTTGTGATCTGAACTGTGTCCACTTGGTTTAATTTCTTGTGGGTAGGGCCTAGGTCTTGTTGATCTGTGTTTCCAACTCACAAATGCCAGGGCCTGGCATAGAGTTAGCACTGAAAACATGTTGAATGTATTAGATTTATTTCCCCTACAGAGCTAGCTAATCACAGGACAATTTATGTTTCCAGCTTTGAGACTTGTTTTGTTTTTGCTTTAATAAATAATGCTGTAGTGAATCTTTTATCTTTTTCTGCCTCTGGCCTTTTACTCTTTTTGGATTAT